ACACAACTCCCTGGCAAGCTTAATTATTATTTTATTTATTTATTTTTTTTTGGGGGGGGGTCGTGTTCCTCTGCGCAACCCTGCACATGTCACTCTCCGAACGGCAACGGAATTCGGTATCGGATCTCTAGTCGCAGTGTTAATTATATATAATCATCATAATCTATGGTGGTCTAGCATCTAGGCTAGGCATACCCGGTTTAATCTTCTTTTGCAGTGTGTCCATACCTGGCCTAACTGCTGTCGTCGTGGGCACAGTAGTATGCCTATTCGCGGCCTAGGCCTAAATCGGTTCAAGAAGCATCTTGCAAAGTCCATGATGACATTAATTCTGCTTCTACTATCCGTATAAATTTCAACGGCTGAAACTCACTAAGGCCTATAAAGGCCTACCTATGCTGATCAATAATAAAACACCGCCAAAGTTGAAAATCAACAAACCATAGTTTCATCGGATGCCAGTCAATTCGAGCGGATGTCAATTCGAGCGGATGTCAATTCGAGCAGATGCCAGTTCGAGTGGATGCATTTAGTGCGAACTATAAGTTAAACAAGGGCGAATTTATCCTATTCTTGTATTTGTTTTAAATGCTCTGATTACTAAGGTTCTGAAAAGTGTTTTTTTGGTACTTCTTGATAATTACTCCATGTTTGAATTACAGTCTTTGCAAATCCAACTACCAAGATGGCCTCTAACAAGTTAAAACTATAATAGAATTGAGCACTTTTCAGCTTTTTCATTACTGACTGATCAATTTTTAGTAACGCGTTAGTGAAATAAGTAGGGCCTTCTTATTAATAGGTCCATGCTTAGAGGTATCAAAGAATATAGATAGAGCAGAGGTATTATATTTATGATACATGGACACTTTTTTTCAACAACAAATGACGATATTAAACTTCAATATGTATTAGGAGGAGATTCAGTTTTTATTTGTGATGAATCGACCTCTATTTTTGATAATTTCTGTAAAAAATACATCATGAATGCTTGGGAGAAACGCTCACAACTAAAAAATTCACAACAATAGTTTACTGTAAATGTATCGTTGCTTATCAAATTGTGTAAAAATTTTTTTTTTTTTTTTTTGTATTTATTTATTTTCTCAATGCACCAAAATCATAAGTTATGACAATAAACATCTCTTACATGAATATGAAAATTCTCACTTATAGAAGCAAAAAACAGGATGATCAATAATTACATTGAAAATATATCAATTATTAATAATTAAGTCACACATAACAGTAAAATTAAGTATAATCAACAAACAATTTTTCAAAGCAACCCCATCTTCTTCAAAACTCATTGGAGTTGTTATTTCTGAAAGTTCGTTTTGAGTATTTTGGGAGTTTTTGATGACATCATCATTCATACGAGGCGTTTGTGTAACTGAGATACGTAAAAATGAGGTTTAAACAAATGAAAAACAAGTTCAAACTAAAGGAAAGCCTCTGTTCCCTTTTTTTTTTGTTTTTGTTTTTGTTTTTTGTTTTTTGTTTTTTTTTTTTTGTTTGTACGAACGCACCAATTGATATTGAGTGCCACCGATTCAAAGGTGTATGTTCAAATAAATAAAAAATAAATTCTTTGGAGGTATACAAATTCTAAGTGCGCCCTCTGGAGTTTTCGCTATGTCAATATCCAACCAACCATGATCCAACTCCTTTTGGTTTTGTCGAGGCCTAGCCTAGGCGCGCCAACACTATGGCGGTAAATTTGAAGCCCCCGTCTTATTTCTCCAGGCCTGTAACAACACAGCAAGGGCAATATGAGGGTATACAAGGTTTGGCCTTCCATCCTACATTCTTCCATTTTTTTTCTCCAGGCCTATGCTAGCCTGCCCAACGAATCAATCCATACAGCCTCAGTCAGGCCTAGCTAGGCCTAGCCTGCGGTCTTGCTAGGTTGAGATGTTAGTTTAGGCCTAGCTATTTAACCTAGCCTAGCCTAGTAAGGTAGTAGACCTAGTAGTACTAGGCCCTAGTAGTACTATCTAGGCAAGACCTACTACATAGACATAGGAATAGGTTTTACATTCAGACCTACTGTCATGGATCCATCCACTTCATTAATTAACACAAAGGCCTAGGCCCTAGGCCTAGTTACCACCTGAGAGATTTGAAATGTGTAAGTGACCAGTTGTTGGCTGGGAGGGGGAATCCAACAAGCGGCAGGGGAACAACCCCCCCCCCCCCCCCCCCCCGACGATCTGAGCATTTTTAAGCTGTTTTAAAACGATTTCAGGGAGTGTTTGTTGAAATACAGGTACATAAGCAAAAATATTATTAATAAAGCCAATTTGAGTTTCAATGTAGGGCCTAGGCCTAGGCCTTAATTGTTTAATTTGAGCACACAAACTATGTAGGCCTAGACCTACACAAACATTTCATTACTGACTGATCAATTTTTAGTAGCGCGTTAGTGAAATAAGTAGGGCCTTCAAGGAATTACTGTACTCTCTCATGACTCAAGTTACTGCATCACCGTTTTTATAGTTTTAATACAACCGATTTCTTCTAATTTTAAATATATTTTCCCCTGAATTTGTGATAAATCGTTATCACGCATAGACTTGTGTTAAATGCGTCACAAATTTAGGATCACGCATGGTGTTTCTGCAAAATGTGTTTCGTCCAAAATCACTTTGAAATTCAGGACAGTTCTCCACGATGCGAGACGGTTGGGAATATATGCATTAAGAATAACGAGCAGTGGGAGTGAGGGGTATCATTCCCTTGCTGCACCTTACCAGGGCCTTTTCCCAAAAGACTTTCCACCGCTTGCACATTCACACTAAAATGAATATTGTCCCAACATGATGTAGAAGAGGCCTAGGCCTAGCTAGTAAATTTAGGGAGCTAGACTGAAGTTCAAAGCTAGTCTACTTGTCAAGCCACCTCCACCATCAACACCTTGGATTTGTGTGAATTCATCAAAATACTCTGCGTATCATTATATATTGTCGAAGACCCCATGTTCTCTCCAGGCATTTGTGCAAAATGGAACAGAGATACAGATAATGCTTTTTTTTCTTAACCTTTTATACGGTATATAAAGGATCAGAGCTCATTCCTCCGTCGTCATTTCAAAAGCGGAAACAACAAAAAATTGATGAGCGAAATCATCATCACCACCACACATCAACACAAACTAAAGAAGATGCAAGTATACATCCACCTAACATACATGCTGAAGAAACCAAAGGTTCTCATGCTGCTGTCACGGTCCTTCCAGTCTCACCAACCAAATTCACACAGTTCTCTCCTAGTCACTTAAAAGAGTTTTCCGAAGCAACCAAAGCACTCATTGAACTCAACAAAGAAAATGTCAAACTACTCAAACGGTAATTGTCAACATTATTTGTTATGTAATTAATACAGTAGCCTGGGACACCCCTATTATGGGGACACCTTATCGGGCAGTTAAGAGGAAAAGTATATTTTTCAACACTACTGTACAGCCAACCCCTATTCAGGGGTCCACCCCTATTAAGGTTACACCTTTTTTGGTCCCAAAGGTGTCCCCTTAATAGAAAAAAAAATGCAAATACTGTAATTTGAAATACACTAATTAATTTTAACTTACCCACTGAGGATATCTTGATAGTAACAATTAGTTCATTAAATACTGTATATTTCCATTCATTTGAGTGGTGTTAGTGACCTGAAGAATTAATGTTTCAATTTTTTTTTTTCCCATCACATCTTAGGCCTGCATTATAACATAGCTTTTTGTCCATAATGGATCAATCTACTATCACTGGAGCTGACAATTTTCTAAGAAATTTTGTACCACAGTTAATTGGTTAAAACAGCTGACAAATGAAATGCAGTGATGCTGGCATATAATTTTTGATAATTTACCTTTGTAGAATGTTTATGTGACTATTATAAGTTTAAGAAAGTGGACTTTTTGAAATTGGGTGGGGGGAGGGGTGGAGAGGGTGGTGCTTCCCTCTTCACCCCCACCTACGGGCTTGCTCTCTAATGGTTTTCACTTGACTGTCTGTAAATAGGTACTACAGTTGGTTAAGAGATAATCACAATTATAGTTTATCATTTATAATTCTGATGCTACACTGTATAGTATTTGTGTGTCTTGTGTTTTCTGTACATGGTAGGTTCAAGAAGTTTTCAACTTTCTTTGCATTTTAAGTGTCTTATACTGAATAAATAAATACTCACATAGGGAACTTAACAGAGGGAAATTCATAGTGGAAATAAAGCTAAAATGATCTGATACAGGTCTGTAAAATCTTAGTTTTTACTAAACATACCTCAATTATCGATACTGGTAATGGTATACAGAGGCCAATAATAATTTTACTGTAAGGTTTTGTAGCAGGAAAATATGTGCTAACTGAAAATAACTGGATGTGAATATTGATAACCAAAGATATTCACATACTGCATTTGTTTGCATGCTGCATTTTTTTTTTTTTTTAACTTCTAGGTCAAAGGTAGAGGAAGATGAGGGAACTCACAAACATGATTTACAGGTAGATTTATATTCAGATAAAATGATAGAGAAAAGCATAAACAGTCAAAATCCAAGAAACTTTGGTAGATTAAACCTCAGACCTTTTAGAAAAATCGCAACACAATGAAATACCATCTACCACAACAATAAAACACACAATAGGGAGCTTTCGATTGTCAACGGTAGGACGTAGAACGTAATGAAGTCACGACGGCTGTAAAAGTAATCTGCGCATGCAAGAACGTTATGGTCACTTTGTCGAGTATATTCTGGAACGAAATTTGGCCAAATCTAGGTATGCAGAGGATGTAGGACGCCAGGTAAGACGGTCACGCATGAGTGATTCCATTCTAGCGTTGCGTCATCTCACAAATCAAAACCATCGTACGACAAACTCAACTCCTGCCTATGAGTGCTAAACGATGCGACGCTGTCAGCTGATTGTATGTCTGCTGATTTTATGCGGCAGTCTTAACGAATCGTCATTAAAAACAATCCGACGTGCTCCTTGTGAGTGCTAAACAACCATTGGCTTAACCAAGGCTTTGTTAAATATTCTGCTTTTTGGATCATTTAAGGAAAATCATATTTGGAAATGCCATTAATTTAAGTTTTGCAGCATAAACAAGAAAATCATTAAAAAAAACTCCCACTTCTTTTAGTTAAATGATGTATTAGAATGTAGTTATCCACAAACTCAATGATAATCTAGGTTAAAGAAAAGTAGGTTTCTAGTGCACCATACCATACTGAATTTCAGAAAGAGATATTAAATAATAGATCTTGTGTCAGTTGTGATGAATCTCTTTGCAATAAATTTAGGCAGTTATATCTTTATTGAATATTACAATTTCAGGGAGAAAGATTCAGAATGCCTTCAGAACCTAAAACAATAGCTGTTTACCAGGAGCCAAGACATGTTGATTTTCATCACAGTCATATGTTGCCTATCGAACACTCATCGCAACTGATTACAAAACAGGCCGCAGAAATTGGACAACTGAAAGCAGAGATCCAGAACCTTGAAGCACATTACAAACGACAGAGACAGGAGTTTAAGGACCAGGTTGAGCGCCTTAAAATAGATAATGCAAGAGTAATTGAGGAACTTGAAGGCAAATTGAAAAGGACTATAGACAGGCATGCTATAGAGGTCAGTATTAATATATTTATGTTCGAATTGTGTTAAGGGAATTGTGTTAGGACCCAGTTGAAATCCGGCTACTCAAGATTTTATTTATTTATTTATTTTTATTTCCCTCACATCCAACAGCAAGTACACTCACCGCTTACATAAAGAGAATAATGCTTTATAAGCTATAAGCCTATTTCTGAGGCTTAGGGAGTGGAGTGGTTTTTAGTCGTGAGAAAAATTGCTGCTGTGACAGGAATTGATCCAGGATCCTGGGATCAGAAGGCAAGCATCTTCAACCACTGAGCTATTCAAGTTGATCACATGGATGAGATAGGGGATGTGGTACTAGCACTGCACAGTTAATTCTAAATCCAACAATAATATAATTATATTAGAGTGTTATTCAATGAATGTCAGACCATATGCTTTGTAAATTTAGTTTTGCTTATTTTTGAGAATGTCACAGTTTGCAAGGCCAAATATACAGGTGTTGAAAGATCTAATGATATTAATATGGTCGGCTGAATCAAGGAGTATGCATAGATATTACATTTACATATTGTTCATGGAAGAACGTGTGGTCCACACTGTCAGTGTCAAATTTTATGTGACAAGTTTGTGTGATGTGACCATATACAGTGTTATATTATATCTAAATATGGTCATATCACATCACAAAAAATTGATATTGTAGAAAGCTTTAGAAACAGTCAATTATACAACATACCTTCTTTTTTTTTTTCCCTCTGGATCTCTTGAACCTGGCTTTAAATTATCATAAGCAATAATTGTTCATTAAATTTGTTGTATATTTGTTACTAGGTTGAACACACAAAAGCACTTAGTCGACAGAAACAGAACCAATTTCAAGAAACAATACAAATCCAGTCCATGGAAATAGACAGGTGCAAGGCTACTTTAAAAGAAGTCTGTGATGAGAAATTACAGCAAGGTAAAACAATGGAGTCGGCTGAGAATCAATATAAAAATCTGCTCAGGTAATACACAACTGCAACATGAAATGTTTGTCATAGAAACAAAAAAAATATAAGGTATTGAATTTTATAATCTACCTTATTCAGTTTAACCTCTGGAAAGAGGTTAGACTTTAGTCACTCACAAATCTAAAAATAATATATTTAATGTACTGTAGGTACATCATTATTAAGTTAATTTCTGGTTTGGTCTTTCAACTTTAAATAAAAATATAAATTTGTAAATAGATTTATCCCACTGTAAATGTTGTTAGATTATTATATATTATGCAATATGAAACAATATTGCACAAAACCAAAACAATATATCAGATAACTTACTACCACAGAAAATTTCCTCAAGATAATAATAATAATAATAATAATAAAAATAAGAATAATTATAATAAATTTTTTATTGGTCCTCATTCAATTGGAAATTTGGGCTTGGTCCCTTTGAAACCTGCGGTAGCCGCAGTGCATCGCCACCCGAATTAACTACAATAAATAACAGACAACACATACGGATACAAACATAGTCCTTAACCCGCCTAACTCTCAATATGAGGGTTATTTGAGGAGCCAAGCTATCAGACTCCAATTAAAACCCGCTGGCCAGTTTTGATTCGGGTCTTCAGCACACGAATCAGGAAACTATACCTCTCAGCAAACCGTTTTGCTGAAGAGGCCTTGCTAAGGTTAATACCTTATATGTAAAAATATGCCAGCATTCAGTTCAAAATTATATCTCACTTAAGGTAAACATATCCAGTGTATAATAACAACATCATTTCAGATTTTAAGTTAATTCAATCATTCCTTCTTCCAGCTCCAGTGATTTTTTAAGCTTTAATTTCATGCTATGAATAAAATAATTTATTAACACTGAATGCCCTTGATATAGAAATATTTTGTGAAATGTTATCTCAGAGATTGTGAAGAAGAAAAAAGTGAACTGGAGGAGCAAGTGAGGAGATTGCAAGCTTATATGAGTGACTCACTGGAGTCTTCCAAGTCACAAGCTACTTGGCAAGTAGAGAAGCAACGTCTCAATCAACAAATCAAGGTACATTTCATAAATTGGTCTTAAGTTTTTGTTTGTGTTTGTTCATGTTTTTATTTGTTTAATTTTTTATCTATGTAGCAGCAAAAATGTGTGAAAATATACTTTAAATGTTGAAATAATTTTGAATACTGTAAAACCTCAAAATTGAAGGCCCAATGGACTTATTCTCGAGATGAAGCCTATCTCGAATTGAAACCCCCTCTTTAGTTTGCAAAATTAGCCTAAAAAAAACCCTTTATTTCAAGGTAGCATAGTCTTCTTTTTGAGATAGTATAGTACATACACTGTACATGAATTTAAAAAACAAAATAAATTAAAAACAAGCTTGGTTTATACAGTGGTTTATGTGATTTAATGCTGGTTAAATACATTCCATAATACTAATACAGATTGATGTTACAGTGGCCTTATTTATTGTTTTAGAGTACAAATTCACAAAATTTACAGCATTCATTTTGAAAAGAATCCCCCCTTTACTTTGCAAAAGTAGTCTCGAAAAGAAGCCCATCTTGAAATGAAGCCCATCCAAAGTTCGCAAACAAAAGAAGTCCAGGGCTTCAATTCGAGGTTTTACTGGATGTTTTGTTGAATAATTACCAGTTTTCTATTCATCTGGTTGTCTTCGTTAAATTGGATTTTACCACTTGTGTGCAGGCAGGTGTGTTTTAACGAAGAACGACCAGTCGAATATGGCCATTGACTATTTCAAAATGTTTTTATTTTTAGGACCTTGAGAAGGAATGTTCAAGTTTAAAGACCAGCTTGGAATTGACCAACTTAAGGTTGACATCCGCCATTGAAATTCAATCACTACAGGAACTTCAACTATCCAAAGTAAATATTGTGTTTTATATTGTTAGTAACCATTACCAAGCTCATTAAACGGATTCTGTATTTTGTATGCAGTCAGTGTTGGTAACCACATCAATTACAAACTTTGTATAACATGTTGACAACAGTCCATTTGGTAATCAGTATTACCTCTTCCAATGTGTGCTTTAAACAGTCCTATTTGATGTAGAATTCAGTCACTTTGGGACTAAAAATGAAGAAAACCTGATGAAGCCCCATTGACTGGGGCGAAAGCTTGTGAAATAAAATTCATCGTTAGACAAAAAAGTGCTACAGTACCTACTCATTTGTTTTATTAGTATACACTGACTAATATGACTATACCACCTTTTTGATATATACATAGAGAAATGGCATCTTGACTTGTTTACATGAAAGTACTGCACACAGTTTAACAGTATTCTTGAACACATTTCCTATCATTATTCTATTTGGAAAATATCAGAACAACATATTTTGCATGATATACTATATATTATTCTCATAATATATTCTTGTCATTACATTTTTGCACTGATAATTTATATTAAAAAAAATAAGGATTAAATATTGTTTAATGTAGGAGATGCCTGATGATGTTACCAAAACAGTGAACCTTTTAACAAAATGGCGGGAAAGTGTTTTCAAGCTAATGGTGCAGAGAAAGTCACAAGACTTAACCATCAAGATGAGTGATGCACATCACAAGCAACAGGTAAATCATTATTATAAAATCATTAAAAATAATTTTGAAATTAACTTGTTCATTTTGCAGTAAAATACAAAACTTGATTAATGTGTACCCTGATTTTATACTGGATAACGAGAATAAACATAATAAAACACTTCCAGTTACTGGAAGTGTTTCTATATTAGGGGTAATCATTTCATAAATACAAATACATGTTACTTCAAAATGATCAAGTTAATTTCAAAATTTGTATACAATTGTTTTTGGTATTTTGCAGGGGACAAATACACCTTTAAAAATTGTTTGTATGAGACAAATAATGTATAATGATCATGTCACAAGCTTAAACTTTGATACATAATGATGTAAAGAAGCTTCCTTATAGGTTTATTGATGAGCTCTCTAACAGTTCCTGACCAATGAGCAATTGAACGTAGCATATATCCATTCAAAATTGCACTTTTTGATCATATTAACACAACACCGAACTGATTGGAAAGCTTCTTTACACCATAATCTGTCTCTAACATGAATCAGAAGGGAAAAAAATGTATGTTTTTTTTTTTTTTTATTCAACGTCGGAACTAATATGCAGATGATATTGTCATTAGTGAACTTAAACTAATTATTTTAATGAAGTTCAGCAATTTTCTAAATGGTGCAAACTTCAACATCTTAAACACAAAGCTAAAGAAATGATCTGTGATTTTTACTTATTGTTTCTGTCTCAAATTTAAACACTGGATAGGAATAAAAGTTAAAATGAGTTACGAATTATTATTCTTTTAGACATTTCACACAATTTAAAACGTGTTTGAGTTTGTTTGTTTTCTCATTAGGTTTATGACTTCCAAGTAATGGTTCAAAGTTTAAATAATGAGATAGAAATCCTAAACCACAAGATGAGTGATGTCCAGGCACAATTACAGATACAACTCAACAGAAATAAGGTAACATGTGCTCTTGCTGCTTTTTCCATCCATTTTTTTATCACTGAGTATTTGTCTTATGTCTTGTATTATTACAGTAGACAGAATGAGGTCTGCCCAGGCCCAATTTGCAAATAAATAATTAATTTATTATAATAAATTAATAATTGTAAATACTGCGAGTCGTATAACACAGGCACTGCAACCTATAGCCATAATATTGGCGCTGGTTTGAGCGGCACACACGTCTATGGTTCTGTTGGTGGAACAAGTCTTCTCCGATAAAGACTGTAAACCGTAGGCCCAGTGTACACAATTATTACCACTAGTCAATGCAAAAGACTAGAAGATAATGTATTATTTAACTGTCCATTGATGGGAAAACATTTTTCCTCATTTAAATTTTTAACTGTAAGTTAACAACTTACTTAAATGTACAAATAAGGTAATTCAATGTGGAATTGAAATTTTACATTTTTTTCAGCTCATGATGGACTGTACGTCCTTTTAGTATTGGGCAAGACTTTTTTAATACCTTGTTTCACAAACTTTTTTTTTTTAAAGATCATCAAAAGAGAGTGGAAAGAAAATAAAAATATAATTTTGTTTTCTTATTTAGTAAATGGTTTTGCCAAAAAATGTCCAAAGTTGGGAGAAAATAAAAATAAAATTTTGTTGGTGAATGTAAACCGTGTAATAATGGGATAGTTGCTTTAAATTTATAAAATTAGGAAGAAATATCTTAATTCTTGAGATTTCAAGGTAACGGCGGGCGTAATAAAAATAAAGAAAAACATTAATTTCTTTCTGAAATTTGTTTGTTGTATGTCAGGATCTTGAGGAAGAGGTGGTCTCGGTGCAGAAGGTAGCTGCCATACTTGATCAGAGGCTTGAGGAATCGGTACAAGCCTGCTTACAAATCAAGGACACTGTTAGCAAGTAAGCATTCATTTATTTATTTTTAATGTATTTTGTCAAAAACAGTAAAAGTTTTTGATTTGCTATTAATTATTTTGAAATATCATTTATTCATTCATTCAAAAGACATTCATTTACTTCTATAGCAGAGTGCAGAAACAAATATATACAATAAGATGAGAACTGTATTACATCTTTATATTTTAACCAATTTTGATAGAACTTTTAATAATGTATACGAGCAACAAATTTCCGTAAAAAAGATGCAATAAAGTGAGTGATAAGTTAGCTATGAAAGAAGGCATGATCTGGAGAAGATGAAGATCTTGTGATATGCATGCCTCTGAGGAAACAAAAGTCAATACTTAATATCACTTAGTGCAAAGTGCTGTAACTTTCATGGATTGAATAATAATGAAGATGAACTAGGAAATAATAAAATGATATTTTAAAAATTGGTAAATGCATATTTAATTTAATATAAGATTAATTTCAAAATTAACACAAATGTTCATAGAGATGAGTGAACTCCATTTACTTACTTTTTCTTTCTATTTATTTAGGCACACATGTGCCAAGGATTGTCAATAGCGAATATATCACTGTCCTACTTGTACAGTAGGTGACAATCCCTTACACAAGACAAACATACACACACAATGCTTTACACACACTAAATCTCAATATGAGATTTAGGGAGTGGAGTTGTTTTGGTCGTGAGAAAAAAATCCTGCAACACTGACAGGAATTGAACCCAGGACCCTGGGATTGGAAGGCAAGCATCTTAACCACCAAGCTATTCAACTCCACTCTATTTAGACAACAATTACCAATAAAATAAATTTGTCTTCTATATTCTGAATAAAACCTGATCTCTCACAGAGCCTTGTTATGCTATATACTAAATCCAGTTTCCCAAATCAAACTAGTTTTTCCTTTGACATTAAACATTTTATTTATTAATTATTATTTAAGGCATATATCAGTTGCAAGTAATGTTGAGGAATCAGTACTTACTGCGCATAAGAAGCTATTTTGCTATGAAAACAGAATTAGCTTTGCTGTAAGCAGAATTGAAATATTGAAAGGTAAGTGAGGTGCAATTAAATCATCATTTTATTATAATTTTTTTTCAAGGACATGTAAACATAGTCATTAGTTTTGTAACATTAGTAAAATATACACATTCAAAATTCGATACTGATGTCATTGTATGTGCAGGTGACAATAAGAAAGAATGAGAAAAATATGTTTTCCACAATTCTGGCTGTGTTTATTTATTTATTAATATTATATATTTTCATTACTTAATGTATTGTGCAGTTGCAACATACTTTGTCTTTTGAAACTTTAGTACTAATATGTTTTTTTAATATTAAATATTAGTATCGGTTTTTAACATTGTTGTATATTATTATAAGTGTTTTGTTTTCTTATGTTTATTTTTACTTTATTTTCACAAGTTTGTAAATGTATTTTTTATATGGTTTGTCTTATGACAATAAATGAAATCTAATTCTGAATACATAGTTTTCTAAAAATTAAAATGTTAATTTAAAATGAAGATTTTCTCTGATCTTTTATTTATTTTATTGTTATTTTTTCTGTCTTTTGTGTGATAACATTTCAGTGACGTAGCACTGGTATCACAAGTGGATCACAAGTAAAGAGAGTCAAGAGAACCAAAATGAAAAAAGAAATTGAACTTAAGACAAAACTAAAGAAAAACAATATGTACATAAATATAAAACTACTGCATCGAAAACAAAATAGCTTAAAACTGAAAAAGGAGAATGCAAAAAGGAAAATCAGTAAAATTTTGATTCAATATTTTGTCTAGAAGAGAGTAAATAGAGTTAAATTATATATCGTTTAAATGATATATCGTTATTTAAATAATACTTGAATGTTCTTATGTATAGGTCTTTTCAAAAGAAAGGATGCCATATGGAAGCAGAAGCTAAGTGGGACAGCCTCTTCTGGTGTTAGGGAAGATGTTATCGACCATTCAATAACAAATTGGTATTTCACTCACAATAGAGTTTGAGAGAAACAAGGAGTTGCAAATATAGATTATTCACTAATGAACATTTTGCCAATATTATCACCTTGACCATCCATCATCACCATCATTATGTTCATAATGATCATCATCTTTACCATCATCATCCTCATCACTATCATCAACATCATCATCATTATCATCATTATCATCACCACCACCATCATCACCTTTACCATCACTATTTTACCATTATTACCATCTTACTTTCATCTCGATCTTAATTTACTGTATATACTGACATACATAGATACCAGGCATTTGATTTCTTAAAATCTGGGCAACAGTTTCAGCAATGCCTGGCTAATCTTTTGTTTTGCTCTCTCACAAGTCTCTCGTATGTTGCGATGTAAACAATTATGCTAAGCCTATTGTTGCGGGCACGCTTCTACTAATTTAATCAAGTTTGACCTAATTTGATGACCTACTGTAGAAGCTGATGATCGCTCTGCTGCACACTGCGTATTGGTATGCTAGGAATAACAATGGCAGGGTGTTCCAGATTTTAACTGGTTGATGAACATGAGAAGTGTTTAATAGTAAGTTCAGCAGCATGCTGTCTGAATAGAGAGTATCTTGAAGCCACAAACTGTCATTTACCGGGTTATCAAATACAGGCCTTAATGAAGTGCTAGCGAAGTTCTAGGCCTCTTCATAACTCTAGAACTGGGAATCTATATAAAACAAATATTTATTAGGACTTTAATCGGGTCATAGTTCAAGTAATAGCCCTTGGTGATCTGGAGGCTGTACTATGTCCTTCGACTCCATCGACTACATAGTACAGCCTCCAGATCAACTCAGGCTATAATTTGAACCATGCCCCTCAACCCAGCCCTCAACCCTGTAAATATTTGTATAATATTTACTGTATCATCATTATCTTCAATTTACCATTTTTTATCTTATATATACCATGATATTCATCATAATTACCATCATCATGATCATTATTACTCTGAGTATAGTATGGTATTTGATGACATACATGGAGTAGAATGAAATGAGGTATATTTTTTTCTATGTTTTAAAAGAAAAGAACTAATTGCAATCCTTTGCATGTTCAGTGATCTTGGTTTAAAGGAAGAGCTAAGGCAGACAATTGAGGAAAGAGACCTGTTGGCAGCACATTTGAAGGAAGATGCTCAACTGGCCGTCCAACAGATGCATGCCACAACCATTGCAAGTATGTACTTAAAGCAGGTCTCAGTATTTGAAAGATTCACTTCAGATATATGTTTGATGATATACTGAATTCTTATTTTCCAGAAATTTATTTTGTTTACTTCAGCCAACATTTAATTATCACTGCAGTGTAACCTACATTATTATTATTATTGTTACCCAGTCAGCTGCAGGCAGACTAGGTTCTGTTTTCTGAGCGTTCTTCTGATTTCAAAAGGCTACTAGTGGCCAACGGTTGGGTCGATTTCATTCAAGTTTTGAACACCCCATACATGGGGTGTTCACAGCTTGGGGTCAAAGGTCAGATAGCCTGTCATTAGGGTCAAACACATACATAGAGTGGAATAAAATGTATTTTGTTTACTTCAGCCAACATTTAAATATTACTGCAGTGTAGCCTACATTATTATTATTATTATTATATTATTAGTGTTGTTATTTTATTAATTACTGTTATTTTTATTATTATTGTTATTACAGATAAAAACAGCATTCAAGAAAAAGAAGGCATAATAGAAGAGTTAAAAGATTTACTTGCAGCAAAATCAAAGGTATATTTATTGAAGATTGTTTACTTTACTGATTAAAGTTAATTTATGTGGTCTATTTTGTGAATATTTACCTAGATAACAACTTTTCATTGTTTCTTAAATGAACACCCACAATGAAAGTTGACAATCCGTCCCTTGGCACCGCATGACTGCACAAAGACCCTTATGCTTGTCCTTATTCCTTTGTTACCATTTACAAGGAAACACCATGGAAATATATCTGTAGCGTCTCTACTTTCTATTTAAACAGCAATATTGAATTTGTATATAGGCCTATAATCTTTTATATTTCACTTGTAAACTTACTCTATATATTAAACTGTATTCAGCATTTAAGGTCAATCAAAGGACAACAACCTGTTTTCCTCATGGTACCAGGAAATAAGATTACACACAAGTCAGGAATGTGCCAGGATGACTTATCCCACTTCTCTAAACTTAAACAATGACATCATATATTTATCCTTAATTCCTATTGGTTAGTCATTGCCTCATCTTCGGTATATTCCCAAATATGGTAGGATGCTACCCCAATATAACAGAGTATTCCTACTGCTATTTACCACACACTTTCAAGTTGTTTTTATACGGATTACTACCTCAACTTTACTTTGCAATATTTTGTCTTATTTTCTTCATCGATAGCCAAGTGTTTTTATAGCTTACATTAAGCATTTTTCACTTGAAATAAATTTTATCTACGGTATACAAGTTAGTTTGTTGTATTCTTTCCGTTGCGCCATACAACTACTAAATTGGTGACCCCGACGTCAAGATGAATCAAGACAATATATTGGTTGCACCACCTGCACAACCACTTGCTCCACCAGCAGTAGCACCTACAGTAACTTCTGCAGTCAGCCTGAAACTGCCTCCTTACTGGGCACATGACCCCACCTTGTGGTTTACACAGGTGGAGGCACAATTCACCACAAGGGGGATCACAGTCGACGCTACTAAATATGCCTATTTAGTAGGCTCATTACAGCCTGAGATTGCACGGGAAGTGCGTGACTTGCTGCTCAATCCACCGGACGGTGATCGGTATGCCCTCCTCAAAGAGGCGCTAATACGACGCACATCAGATTCTGATCAAAAACGCCTTCGCCAACTCCTCACTGCGGAAGAGTTAGGCGATCGCAAGCCTTCACAGCTATATCGCCGTATGCTGCAATTGCTAGGGGATCGACAGCTCGAACCCTCCATAATGAAGGAATTGTTTTTGAGTCGCCTTCCTTCCAGCGTCCAACTTGTGTTAGCATCAACTAAAGATGAGTTGGACATGCAAAATTTGACAACACTTGCAGACAGAATCCTGGAAGTCTCTACAACTGCTCCATCTTCTTCTCGTTTATTATCTATTACAGAGGAGACAACTAAATCCAGCGATTTACATGAATTAAAAAAGCAAATTCAACACCTTACATGTAAACTGGAGGAAATGCAAACTCATATTCGGGGCAGAAGTGAAAGTCGAGGGCGACAACAGCATTTTCGCCGGCAATCCCGTTCCCCATCACGCGATAAACATGTGAAGGATGATGTTTGCTGGTACCACAGAACTTTCGGTAAAAACGCTCGCAAATGCAACCAGCCTTGCTCGTCGGGAAATGCCAACGCCAACAACTGAGAGCGGCGAATGTTGCTGGCCATAATGAAAGTCGCCTTTTCTTTGTCACAAATAAGTTCACAAAACAACGCTTCCTCATTGACACTGGGGCAGAAGTCAGCGTTGTTCCAGCTACTTCTAACGACCGCAAAAATAGGCGACAAGAATTTCAGCTTACTGCAGCTAACAATTCTACCATTGCCACTTATGGACAACGATCTATCACCTTAGATCTTGGCTTACGTCGCAAGTCACAATGGATTTTTATTATAGCAAATGTAGCGCATCCCATTATAGGTGCTGACTTTTTACGTCACTTCAGACTTCTTGTTGACATGACGAACCATCGTCTCGTAGACACAACAACTAATCTAAGCGTGACAGGTATACTTTCAAACAGTCAAGCACTCAATCTTATGTTCAGTATTGATGGCAAGTCTACATTTGATCGCATTCTGTCAGAGTTCCCAACAATCACGCGTCCTTGTTATCAGGAAGCAACTCTGAAGCATGATGTTACACATCACATCAAAACAACTGGCCCTCCAATATCTGCACGTCCTCGTCGCCTGGCGCCCGACCGCTGTAAAGTAGCACGACACGAATTTGAGCATATGTTACAACTGGGAATTATTCGTCCCTCTGATAGTAATTGGTCTTCCCCACTGCATATGGTGCCCAAGAAAACACCCGGAGACTGGCGTCCGTGTGGTGACTATCGCGCACTCAATAACGCTACTGTGCCCGACCGCTATCCTATACCATACATGCATGATTTTACGTCAACTTTACATGGTGCCACAATCTTCTCAAAAATTGATCTTGTACGAGCATATCATCAGATACCTGTTGAACCTGGTGATATCCATAAAACAGCTATCATTACGCCTTTCGGACTTTTCGAGTTTGTTCGCATGCCATTTGGCCTACGGAACGCGGCACAAACTTTTCAAAGGTTCATTGACCAAGTAACTCGTGGACTTGATTTTTGCTATGCTTATATAGACGACCTTCTCGTCGCCAGCACGAATGCTGAGGAACATGAAAGCCATTTGCGACAATTATTTACTGGACTTAATGAGTATGGTGTTGTACTTAACTCAGCAAAATGCCAATTTGGAGTATCATCTTTGGAATTTTTAGGACACTATGTTGACGCAAAAGGTATCCAATTTTATCTACGGTATACAGGTTAGTTTGTTGTATTCTTTCCGTTGCGCCATACAACTACTAAATATCTAAGCATATCTGATAGCTATTGCAAGACTGCCCGCGTATGTAACCATGGAGGAAAGAAGTTACTTTCTAACTGAAAAGGTACCCCAAACTTCTACATTCCCTTCAATTTACCCAACAATCTGCCATTGCAATGCATTATCCAATTCAAGGGTTTCCTCATCATGTAAAAAGGTCCCACAAAGACTGAATTGATTCAAACCAAGAACTTATCAAGAAAATGTATACAGTATTCAAATCAATGGAAGAGGAAACATAAAAAGAACATCATAAAAACTAGATAGCAATTTTAGGAATTCATTAGAGTGCTTATCATATTCTCTTTGAAAAAAAACACTCTCCCACCAAAAATATCACATCACCGACCAAACCTACGACCCTTTTTACCCTGTTACTCATTATTTATGTTATTAAAAAAAAAACATTATTTAGCATCCATTCATTTTTCATTTTAAATTTACAAATTTAATAACAACATCCAAATTCGCAAATAGCATGAAAGTTTACTTGCTTATGTGACGCTATCTTTAAACACTAGGATATGGCGATTTCTAATGAGAAAATGTTGGAGCTGGAATGTCATTTGAAAGAAACCCAAAAACACAATGCAGAGCTAGAGCAAGATTTAATTCAAGAAAGACGAATATCTATGAAAGGTTTGTAATATTATTGTTTAAGTCATTCAAATGTTTGAATTGTATATAAACGTGTAAAGTGGCCATGGTCCCCAGTTCAGTTCTCATTGCTACTCTTGTTGTGTTTCAGCTGGAAGGCTGAAATGCAAGCTGCGCACCATCTTTTGGATGAGATGTTTAAGCCATTGGTCCTGTGTGCATTATGGCCTGTGTGCATGTTAAAACATGCTGTACACTATTCGTAAATGAGTAAGGGATTGCCTCGTGTACTGCCCATATCACCACCAGAAGGACCCCACTGGAAATAAGTCGTCTTCAGACTTTTGTGGGTTATCCTTGGTGTTTTCACCAAAGGCATCCATCTTAATATGACAGGTGGTAGTCAAACTTTTTCTAACTAATGATAGGAAAATTAAATTTTAAATTGTGTATAAATCAATCATATCATCATTATCTTTCACGCATTTATACTGGGTCTAGCCTGCTTTGGTATTTGTCCAGATTTGTCACGTTAAAATATTGCCAGTATACTATTCAATGGCTGTTCATTTTATTTAACAGTGTCAGAGGAGAAGGATGCAGAGTACCGCCGTCAGTTGTCTGACATGGAGATTCATGTGAACACTGCAAGGAGAGAACACACTAAAGCAGGTATGCTGAATGTACTCTTTGTTCAGTACACGGTTACAGCATTCGCAACCCAGACAGCGGGACATTTCACAGTAGCACATATATTCCAAATACTGTAAAAAACATTTGTGAAAAGTACTCAATGTGTAATCATTGAAAAATATTTTAATTTATTATATATTTATTGTTATTTTATATATTTATTTTTAATTTATAGTATATTTATTATTTATATAATTACTGAAATGAACATTCCTTCATTAATAGTCAGGTTTTCGAGACTATAGGAATTAAAAGGAAAAGGAGCTATTATTTTCTGAAAAAAAATTGAAGGAAATAATGGATACTAAGGCTTCTGTTTCCTATAGTGTACAAAAATACTTTACTATAATTGCTTTATAAGTCAGATGTGATATCCATCACCTTTTGTATGGCCCTTTAATCAAACTGCTGGTTGTAGAAATATTGCTGTATATTCATAAATTAAACTGATGGTTACGGTTGCCAGTTGCTAATAGTTACCTTTGCGTGTGCATTAGTTGCACGTATTACAATGATTTGTTAATACTACGCGCACTGAGAAAAATTTGTTATGTGCTCTGTGCATTCAGCTTGGCCTAGCAACGAAGTATTCCATTGCGGTGTAAAATAGTAAAATCACCCTAGCTTTATATCGATATAATGATCAGTCGGGGATAGGAAAATTCAGTGCAAATGGAAGTGATGATGTCACCACTGGCCTATATTAGGATTTATATGTTAGATCAATATACAATGTTGTATAATATCAAATGTGTATGTCTCAATTTATATATTTTGTACCATTTAAAGTTATGTGCATGAGGCAATGTGAAAGGCAAGCTGTACGAGAGAAAAAGCATTTACAAGATCAAGTAAAATCACAAGAAACTTTTTATGAGAGTGAAGTTGAAAAACTGCGAAGAGAAGTTAAAAACTTGCAGAAAGACAACAGTATTCTCAAGGTGGGTTGTAAATATTTTGTCACATGCACAAAAATTATCTGGCAGCCATTAGAATTGATAAACACAATGATCGTATTAAGGATGTACTTATTGAATATACTCATTTGAGAGCGGTGCTTTGTAGCTTATTGTACCGCTGAAATTACCATTTATTGTACATGGCCCAGCTGACATTACAATGTTATAGTATTACTGTACTGTATTTAATTTGCAAGAATTCCCATTTAATATTCTGGTTTTAAAACTCATTTTATATTTGTATGTTTTTATGTCTGCCCACCCTGGAGCAGTAGACACAAAAATCATGCTTGCTTTGAAATGGAACAAACTGAATTTTTTAATTCCAGTCGGTGGGCTTTCTGTTAAAGGGAATGTGATTTGATTAACTTAATATATCAAAATGATGTATTTTTTTAAATTTTTTTACGAAGGCTACTTTGAGACAAGAGGGTCTTATTGGCAGGGGCGCAAGTGGCAGAACTACTGATATACACATAGGTGAAGGTGATGCTTATTCCAAAACACCGGACGAGCAACCACAGTTGGATGTAGAACATTCAGTAACTGGTAGGCATCTTATATTTTGTCATTACATATAAGGCTTGTCAGTCCAAAACCAACATCAGTAACCAAAAAATGAAAAATGACTTTTTAATATACTGTTATTCTTATTCTTCACATTACTGTATAAGCTTTACAATGATAGGTCATCGTTGATGTGTTGCCAAAAGTTATGAGTAAAAGTATAATGGCTTCCCTGTACCAAAGTATACTATACAATACTGGAATGTTCTTTATGACAACTGCCAATTACTCAGTTTAACAATTGCCTCATATTGAAGTCAATTTACATTTATTATTCTATTTTAAGCATATGTAAAGTTAAAAGATGTTGGCTTGCAGGGGGAAGTAGACACTAGTGTAAGAATATTATCATCATTCATCAGGTTGGAGGAATGATGGGATACCCATCATTGTGTTATAAGCTAAAGACACAAAAAACAGTCTTCTTTTTTTTTTGTGAGGTTGAAGAGTATTGCAGCAGGCTTTGTCTACGAAATATGATGCTATGTCTAGGCCTGTTGTAGAAAGAACCAAAATAATGTGTAATTAGACCGACCACTGCTTATGCGAGTTAAAAAAGTAGCCAAAAAAAAGCAATAAACATGCTCCCGCTGGGAGCCTGTTTTTTACTCAAAGCTAAGCTTGAAACAAGAGTAATTAAAATTCATTTTTAAAATTATATTTCAGATTCATCTCTCGGTCTTCTTGTTGATGATGTTAAGAACCTGACATCACGCATGCTCACATCTGATTGAAGCGAAATACATGCTTTTAGCAACATCAACCAACAGAGATAACACAACCAACAGAGCTGACAGAGTAATAACAACCACATATCTGCAAGAGCTGGGATATTAATAAGACTATAAATCTTTTAATTAAACCAAAGAGAGACTGATATCTCCCATACCACTTTAAACCCTATAGGGTTAAACTTAATTTGTATATTGTACACAGTACCAACAGCTTAAATGTCTCATCCAAAAACATTGCCCTATTGAAATCTGTATTTCAGCCATGTGGTCGGATGTGATGTGGCAATATTAATTTGGTATACCATAAAACCTTGAAAAGAAGCCCATTTCGAAAAGAAGCCCATGGGCTTCTAATCAAGATAGTATGGGCTTCTTTTCGAGACAGTGTTGTACATAGCCTTCTTATTTGTAATATATCTAAACCTTTTATTATATAATTTGTGTATATAATTAGTTGTCTGCAGAAGTAATCTCAAAGAAGCCCATCCAAGGGTTGTATGTATAGAAGCACATGGACTTTTTTCAAGGTTTTATGGTAAATAGCGATTTTGATTGAATAAATGTACAAATGGTTTTGAATTGTTCTTGAGAAAGGTTTTTGATTGGACATTTATTAAAGGAAGGCAGTTATTTTTGGTGTAAAATAGATACGTATATACTCAAATTCATCATGATAAAGACTTACTGTTATTGATTCCAACTCGGTTAGAAAAAAATATAATTCTACTGCATTAATCGAATGTGTTGAAAATGATGTTGCTTCCATTACATTTGTTTAGGGTCATTTCAGGGCGTTTATTTGAGGGAGGTGTTTCAATTGCGGCTCTAGAGGGGGCGTTTATTCGAATAAATACTGTATCTTATAAATAATTGATGTGATTGACTTTTCTGCCAGTTCCCTACAATCAAAAAAGTTACTGCTCGACCATGGTAAACTGGTGTGTGCAAGAAAATATAGCACTGAGTTTAGCTTTTAATATCTGGATCAAAAGACTACTATAAATGTTTTGAGTTGCGTGGAGAATGGAATAGAAGTTACATGTTAAAAACTGACAGTTGTCTGAATATAGCTAATGACAAGGCCAGTACTGTATGTCAAAACCCTGTTCCCCAGATAGTTGAAATGCAGTTTGCCGAGTCCACTGAAACATTAACAGCAGCATAAAATTCACGAAGGAGCACTCTCTTACGGTTACTTCATCTGCAGTAGTCGCACTAGTGAAAAGTCAGGGCCGGCCAGAATTATGACATTGAGAGTTTAGAAGTCATCCCAATGCGAAGTGATCACTGTGTATTCGTATAATAAATAGTGGCTTATTGTATTTTAATGATTCTAATTCTGTTAAATCAAACTTCCAGTTCAAGTTTATTAAAAATTATGTTTGCAGTGAGTAGCTGAATTGCAATGAACATTTATGGTCGTGGCACTGCGAGTATGTAGGGCTTTTAGACCACAATATTAGGGTTCGGCAAATTGTTGTATTTGGTCCTTGACGATCACGATCATTTTTGAGGGAGGCATTTAATTCCAAATGAGGCTCTAGTGGTGGGGGGAGGGCGTTTTTAATCAAATTGGGGAATTTACTTGAATAAATACTGTTATACGGTTCCTCCCGGACCCACCCATCATATTTTCAAAATCAAAGTATGCTGTATTTTTGCACAACGGCAATATTCGGTAAACTGAATCCTGAGCACCAGTTTTTTCTTTCAAGTGTGTTTGAAGACACACCTCTTTGGTCCTCACGTTTGTCTCAATAGTTTTTTTTCCATTTTTTCATAGGCACCTAGATAACCACACCATGGCATGCTATGAAATTTTCGTGGTGGTCCTGGTTAGTTTTAAGTTATTTCCTGATTCAAATTTATTTATTATACTCATTCCTGGTTATGTGATCCATATAGAAGTTCAGACATTATTCAATAATATACTTAACGTTCACATAATAGTATAACGCTAGAAATAATGTTAACATCTGGTTTCAAGAGCATTTCAAGACCACCAAAATCAATGTGTTGTGTCTGACTATGAATGATTACACCACGCATCCACTCGAATAGAGCATTCAATAGAAATCTGCACCATTTTTACATACACAGTTGTTAAATATATGCAAATAAAGCTGTTGGTATGAACTTTTCCCTAAAATCCCAATTCACTGGGACAGGTTGTTGAGAAAAAAAAACTGATTTAGACTTATTGATTAGATTAAGTCGTATATTTACTGTTATCAATATTTAAATCTTAAATTGCTGCCATCTGTTGAGATCATTACAGAAACATAAAATTTTGATGTAAAAAAAGCTAAAATTGACCAAAGTCGAATACCAAATGCCATTAAAAATTTGTTTGACTTACAGATTGTTAATTAATGGATAACGATTTAGCGTGTAAAATACGTTCAACTTGGAAATTATTCAAGTTAGGAAAAGTCGACTTAGGCAAGTTTAACTGTACAACATTTTGGGAAAAAATGGATGCCAAGTGAAAATGTTTTAAACTTCTAAAGGTACACAAAATATTCTCTCTACAATTTATTTTAGAATGCTGTTTAATAAAAAAAAATAATCATAATGGCTCAATATTGCTTTGAAAATAATAATCTTGAATTAGAATTGCATAAAGATTCTCATCCTATCAACTAATTTTATTTGTATTTTATCTTTATAGATTGTAAATACTGTACAAGACTTTCATCTTAGGCTGCTTTTTTGAATTAATATCAGAATACATTAAATAAATACTAGTAATAAATAAATAAAGTGGTTTCTAAATAAAATGTCAGCAAAATCTAAATTGTAAATTTTTCAGTTGGCCTTGATTTTCCCCCTTTCTTCTTTCCTCTTGAAAATTTTGCACGTATAGATTTTTGTTGAAGCTCAAGGTACTTCCTCTTGTTTTCTCTAAAACAAAATAATTTTATATGCTTGTTAAATACTCTATAAATTCTAAAACAACTTAATACAAACAATGTAAACATTTTTTATTATATGATTTTGTTATATCCAGTAGTTGATTTGGTATTTTTATTATTACTGTTATTAAAGCACATGTCCCAATTAAACATCATATTAGTGTATTCTTTGAAATATCTCTGCTTAGCAGAGGGCCAACTGATTAGTTTAAGATACAAAAGATTATTTCATACTCCAAGGAATGATATACATGTCATCGTGCTGAGATTCAGTATTTTGACTCTTTATTGGTCATCATTCATGACGATGACCCACTAAAGATTTGAAATATTAACATCATAATTATGATCTTACCTTCTTAAATTCGCATCAGCAAGCAGTTCATCGACTACTGTCTTTTTTCTTTGTTTCTTTGGAATGCGATGACTGTAAAAATCAGCATGACTGTCAACCACCTGACCCATCTGAAAAGAAAATCATATAATATTCACAACAGGAGAAAAAAAAAACACTGAACAAGCTGTACAGACTATAGATATTTCATACGAGTTCTTATGGTAGCTATCAAAATCATGAACAATATTTTTTATCAATATTAACTAGAATTCAATTGTAACAGGAGTCCCACATTGGAAGAAAGCAGTTAAGTAAGCTTTCTTAAAACATGTAATTCCATTTTGCTGTGCATGGAGATACCTATTGCCACTGAATTCTGTGAGATAATGATAATAAATTAGCAAAAACAATCAAATATTGTTTTGGGAATTGTCCCCAATTCCCAAAAGTCTTCGTCGACTTACGGGACACTTGGCCCTTATCATTTCTGAGAGCCACTAGACAGTGGTTCAGTTCACTTTTTGGCAATCCTGTCAGGCAAACTGAGTGTTGTTTTTTGTTCTCCGTTAATTTGTGTTCTTTGGACGAAATAAATGAATAAAAAAAAAAATCAAGCAATGAAAAGGTCATCAAACTGGTTGATACTTGGACCAGTGCCACCACTGTAGAATCTATACAGGCCTACAATATACCTGAACAAATTTTGGAAGATTCTTCATATCATTGTTTTTGTAAAAGCGTTTTGAATCCAACATTGACCTCATTTGAATAAGTTTAAGGTCTCTTCGGAGTTCATCGGTCATCTCTGCTGCTTTCATGTTGAACCAACCACCTCCTGAGTTGGATTCTTTTTCTTTCTAAAGGAAAAAAGAAAAGAAAAACAGTTTAAGGTATACTTTATGTAGTGAAATATAAAAAAACTAAATAAAAAAGTTAACATTTTTTTAAAGAATTAATAAATATCAATAAGTAAAATACAGATCGAAATAATTCAGTTTTCATTGATTTCAGACATATGTGTACAAACATCATTTAATTGGTTAGCATTACCAATCCATTTAAAAGTCTATGCAAAAGAATATAGATAAAAGTATTTATGCTCATTTAATGGTGAGAAAATGCAAATATTGGGGGGAAAAAATAGCTCATTACAGATGGTATACTTCTTAAACGAACTTTGAAAAATAAAATTCAAGTTTCTGCTTTTCAAGATTCAATTTGTCCAGTTATTAGAACTGATGAAAATTAAACATAAATAAAAGTTATATAACAATGCCATAACAAAATTTCATGAATGAAACTTCCATATTTCTTGTTTTTCTGTGTAATTTTCTATACCAGCTGTGTTAAGTGTAGACAATGCACATGTAAAACTGCTAACTTTGGTACATCATCATGCAATAAATGTTTGGTGTACTGTGCTTTAAATATTTAAAAAAAAACTGCAGTATGACCATGTGGGTAGCTAGGGTTACAGTTTTGATTCATGCAGCTTCCATGCTGTAATCATTCTACTGTGCAGTAATTGTGATGTAACATGTAGCACACATCTGCATGTAGACACATATTTTCACATTTATTTATTGAAACTTCATATAATTTGCAGTATCACAGCTGAATCAATTCACAAAAAAAAAAAAAAAAAAACATTTTCAGTTCTCTTTAAACAGGCATGGCCATTAATTGTTATTACAATAATTACTGGTACTATTTTATTGCTAATAGTGGATAATTAAATTGTTTATTTTGAAGTAACAATTTTCATATAAATTAAAAACTCTATAATATAAGCACAAGATAATCCGCATCAAAGGCTTTAATAATCTTTAAAACTTAGCCAATCCATAATTATTGTTTCTTTGTGATTTTTACTGACAATGACAAGTATCAAGACAGGTAATAGTGGTTTTTAAACAAGAGTTTACCTTTCGCTGCTTCTTCAATTGCCTTTTTGATTCTTGGTAGGATGGTATTGAATGACGCTTCTCAAAATCTGATGTAATGACACTCTTTTCCATCACCTTTTGGATAAAGCATGTAAATACTGTACAGTAAATATTTATCTAAGACTATCTCTGGTGCAGTTCCATGACTACTTATCACATCTGCAATTAAATCACACAGACGGACACAACAACCCAGCTTTTGACAGGGTCCAGGGGCAAAGCTCTGATGGGTTCTGGAAGAAGAATCCCTGAAGGTCCAACAAAGTAGCATTTTGAAGGCCGTATTTAATGGAAACCAATAATTCATGAAAATTCTATTTAAATTTCCATTTATTTGGGCATTTCATGTTCTCAACCATATATTCTGCCCTTTCTGAGTCTTTAACCACTTGCACCTTGCCACTCGCACCATTCCAACAAAAAAAAATTCTAAATACCACCACTGTATCCAACTGGTTCTATTTTATATACCATTGTACTTCCTACTGTACTTTACCTTTTCATGCTTTTGTGGCTGTCTTGGGATAGCATTGTCACTTTCTTCAGCAAATCTTATGTACAATCCATCACTGGCTACACCAGAATCCAGCCCAGAGGCTAATTCAATCCTACAGAAAATTTATGGAAATTTGATATTCAAGATGTATTAATTATAAGCCACAGTTATTGCGGAATTTGTCTTGACAGCAGAAGAATGGATGGAGATATTCAGGTTATTGTAGTAATTGTCATGGGTATGTTGTATTGACCAGGAAACTAAATAATATAATTAAAAAACAAAAAAAACAAAGGAGAGGTTGATAGTTCGGTTTTGAGCTACTTTCTTTACAGCTTCCGGATATTAATATATTTTCCTAAATGAGGCTTGCCATTCCCAAACCAGCGTACTGTCGCTAATTGTTAAACTGAATAATTAGCATTAAGAATAAGGCAGTATGGTATATTAGTACAGAGACTTAGTATATCAAGAAAATTTCCATGTTTCTGTCATTGATGCTGGTTTTGGCTTGGCAAGTTTTCTGCTGTTGAATGTACAGTATTCTAGAATAAACTACATAGACATCCCTTTAATATTCATCCACATTGGGAATTAACATTTTGTTTCTTTTTAAAAGAAAGAAAGAAAAGTACATTATTTATCGGAAAAAAAAAAGAAGCTATCTAACATGTCTATAAAAATGTGAGGTCTCACCACGAAATGAGACGCATCGTTGGTGAAATCATATTGAGATATTCACCAAAATAGGTCAAAGGGAATATTTTTACAAAATTTAGATTTTAATGTTTTTGAATAACTTGATAATTATATTTTATGATTGTGTACTTTTTAAGTGAATTTTCTTACTAAAAAAGTGTTCTATTCGCATATTCTGTAATTCTAGTCGTATTATTTGTACAGGTATAGTTTATCTTTGAGGCAGATTTTCTCAAAACCAGGTTCTCATACACCTAAAATTTAAATGCTAACATCTCTGGACCTATTTATCCTAGGGAAGCTATTCAAAGACCAAATTAAAGCTTATAATGTGATCTACCAAAATGTAATATAAACTCATTTTTTTTATTTTCTAACGATGAGACTCATTTTGTAGTGAGACCTCACAAATGCACTAACTATACACGTACAATACACGTACAATACAAGTACAATACAAGTACTATACAATACAGTACATTAATAATGATAGCTTAAAATTATCAATGAGACTTACTGTTCTGCAGGTTTTGATTCTGAAAATTGCAAAATAGGTGATGTTTGAATCGGAGTACTGGTATTGTCTTCATTGGTCTCTTCAATATTCTTATTGCAATAACTTTGATCCGGTGTTGTGTCAATGACAAACTGCACTGTTTCGTCACACTCCACTCCACGATGTGTGCCTGGTTTATCAGCTGCTACATTCTCAAGCCTTCCAACTGTGTTTTCTTTTATTTTCTTCTTTGCCAATAGTACCAACTTTGTCAGTTCACCTCCATCAAATTCCATTTCTTTCATTATAAAAATATCTTCTTTTTAAAAACCAAAATAAAGGTAGTGACAGACTATTCATACAAGCCTTGCTGTATCACTTCTTCAGTTCATTACCTGAAAACAAAATGCACAAATATATATAATTTTAAAAATCAATATTATTATTATAACAAAAATTATCCACAATTTACTTTAAGTCAGGCTACAGAGGTAAAAAAAAAATTGATATATTGTAGAAGTGATTTTTCAAAAAGCTGTTTGACGACAAGTTCGGGAACGGATAATGAGATACAGATTTTCGAATATTTAAAAACTGTTGGAAAAGGTGGAAAAAAGGGTGGTTATGTGACACCTCTTTTTCTTTTAAATATTCAAAAATCTGTATCTCATTAACTAACTATTCCAGAGTTTTTGTGTCTTAGAAAAAACATTACCTTTCATGATAGAGTTTGTTTAGCTTTAGGATCTTGCGGAGTGGTGATGCTGAATGAAGAAGTAATATTTTAGAAAATCTACCAAGTACAGCTAGGCCTACTGGGCCTAGATGTCTCTCTACAGTCAGTAGGCCTAGCTAGCTAGAAAGTTCATGAATGAACAAATAAAATTATTAAAATTATTCTTGCCTATAAATATTCAGAATTCCTTACTTGCAACTCAGAAATTATCTCTGACCCAGGCTTATGATTAATTCTAAAAATAATTTGGCCCTTCAAATAACATTGAGAACTAATGGTTTAGGCTGGCCCTAGCCTAGGCCTAGGTTCATTCAAAAGATCTAACCCACGGCCGAACCTCACCACTCACTGATTTGCATTTAAATAAAGTCCCTATCTATTAGGCCTAGCCTAGGCCTAACATTAGTGTAGGCACAGCAGAATAATTACGTCACCAGCCCCTTGGGCATAATTAATTAGTTCGGCAGTTTATGAAGAATTCTACTAAATTAAATATTATTTATTGTATCCTAGGCCTATTTACTGTACGAAACAAGAAAACTTCTAACGCAAACTGGATTACCGTTCTCATCTTATTCGTGTGGGGTGGTTGACAAAAACAGAACTCACGTGTCAACATTTCGACTTTGGGCTATTCCATTATTTGCACGGGTTTGTTCAGTACTGTACTGTGCTAAAGAATATACTGTAGATAGGACTGTACCTAACAAAACTATTTTATTAAAATGTTGACGATTTCTATGGTGACGGCGTGTTATTTTACCTCATTTAGGAGCGAACAGACAACTGACATTTTAGGTCTGTGTGTCAATTGTTTTACCAGACCCGTAGCATGACTTACTTTGTGGGAGGTTCGTTTCAGTGGAAAGTGGACCCTTATCTCCGATACTCTGGAGAACATTGTAGGCCTAAATATATCTATTAATATAAATTTTTCGCCATTTATGCGGACCTTATCCAGTTTTTGGGTGGTTCGTCGTAACCCCCAACCCCGCCCCGCTATGGGCCTGTTTACGCTGCCATTATTTTGACAAAAAAGGTATAAACAAAAGCTAGACATTATAGAACTGAATGTATTTTGTCATGGAACTAGCAAAATACAAAATTAAAGTACAGTAATGAAGATGATGGTATATTAAATGATTTCTTGCCATGACAAGCGTAGGCCTATTGCTACTGGTAATTGTTTCTCATATCATTTCATATTATTTCATATCATTCCTTATTATATCATTTCATATCATTTATCCTTTCATATTATTTTATATAATTTCATAGGCATTTCATACTATTGCACACCATGTCATACCATAATGTTCATACTGTTTCATATATTTTCAAGCCTTCATATTATTCCATATCATTCCATCATTTAATATCCGATTCATATCATTCCATATCATTAATTTCATACCATATTTCATATAATTTCATATCATTTCATAATGTCGTACCGTACAGTACCATTTCATTTTATTCCAAATCATTTCATATCATTCTATATCATTTCATATCATTCCCTCTTATTTCATATCATTTTATATCATTTCAAATCAATCCATATTATTTCACTCATTTAATGTCATTTCATATCATTCTATATCATTCCATATCATTTCACTCATACCATTTCATTTCTACAAGTTAGCTTTGTGGTTAAGATGCATGCCTTCTAGTCCCAGGGAGAGGTAAATGTTCCTACTTTTTTGCTACAGACCCTGGTTCAAACCCGGCCAGCGTCAGGGTTTATTTAAGGTCGTATCGCTCTGGTCTTAGAATAACCCTCGTGAGAGTTAGGCGCGGGACAAAAGAGGGAGAATATTGTATATGTTTGTCGGTACTGGCGCTGCATTACGGCTGCCGCGGGTCCTCAGCCAAAACTTCCAATTTCAAACATTTTGAATTGGACAAAAAAGAAAAAATCATTACAGTAATACTTATTCATTTTACTATAGAGTATATGCAGGAGTTCATTGAACAATTCAATGTTAAGAGAAAACTATTTTTTAATAATTGAACCATTTAAGTAGGGACACAGTGTCAAAAAATAAAAACCTAACACCACAGGAAAAGTAAAAATAAATTCTAAGAGTAAAATCTACAGTAATCACATGAAGATACATTTATTCAATTTTATTATATAAGTTACAAAGTGATGACAACTCTATAGCCTTAATTTTATAGAAAATAATTTACAGCATAAATAAGAATATTTCACATCTCGCAATCAACTACAAACGAAGTATCACAGAGATTACGATGTCAGAGTTTCCAGAATTTACATCCTGAATAATCTTCATTTTTTATTAATTTATGTTATCAATACGATCTACAGATTTCAAGTTAGTCACATATTATTACTATTGAAACAACTAAAGTTACATTATTGATTATAGTATAATACTGTAAATAAATAAGCAGGACTGAATTTCTATTTTTATTCCAATCATCTGAACATCATTTTAAAATAGAAAAATTCAGAAAATAGAAAAAGAGTGCAAAAACATCAGACCAAAATATGGTACAAATTAAATGCAGTGTAAAATATCTGAAAGCAATTAAAAATTAAACAACCACACAAAGTCTGGAAGATCAACTTAAAATCATACAACATGTAAACATATTCGAACTACTTTAATCATGAAGCAATAATAAAGCATGGAGCTAAAAGACTGACTTACACCGACTGTTGCTAAACCCATTTCTGTTCCATATGTCACAGATAATTCCACCCCCTCAAAACCAGTCATTACCATGAACCACAATAACATTATAGCACTAACCTGGCTACTTTCTATCTTTAATTTGCTCATGGTTTATTTTCAAGCCAGGAATACACTAGCAGGCTTCAATATTATGTTTGATTAGACATCAAACACAACAAATCATGTATATTTTGATGTCATGGTAGGAACACACTAGGAACACAAGCTAGGAACACACTAGCAGACTTTAATGTTTGTTCAGACCTCAAATTCAAACAAATCATGTGTACTTTGGTGTCTTGGTTTATTTTCAAGCCAGGAATACACAGCATGCTTCAATATTATGTCTGTTGAGACATCAAATCAAACAAATCATGTGTATTTTGTTTTCTTTCAGACAATTCATCAGACTGTAATCTGAAAGTGTATTCCCAGCTCAAACAGTTCAATAACAAGCTTTAATATGGTGTGATACTGTTTGCATTGTGGTAATTTCTGTATCATAAAGGTAGAAAAAAAAATTCATCTGGAAACTGTTATGGACATTTATAAAAGTAAATAAATATGTCCAATTAAAACATCAGTAACATTAAACACACTTCACTGTTCTAAATACAAAACATATGAAATTAGAAAAGATCTAATGATGAAGATAAAACTAAAAAAATGTATTTAAGAGAGATAAGAAATATAAAAGAAAACATTTAGTACATTATTCGATTTTTAAATTAAACTTTTTTTTCTTCATACAGTATTTTCAATTCTAACTAGTCACCATGGAAACCGAAACCAACATTTTACAAATGTCAACGATATCTAAGGAAGAAACTATATATGATATGAATAAATGTTTCTATATATTTTTCTTATTCTGAAAAATAGCACAAGTTTTAAGTAGCAAAGTACAAAAAATTAATATCAGTTATGCCCATAAGCCACAATTAAAAAAACAAAATGTTGCTATTAGTTGCACATATCACAATATGTTGAATTTGTTAAGTTTGCAAATTTGCCAGCAATTCCTGCAAACAAAAACATGGAAGAAAATTGGCATCATCAAAATCAAGTTGTACTTGCTTCTTCTTATTCTTTCAGTTTAATAATTAATTACATTAGAATGATGATATACTCCAAAAAAAAAAAAATTTGTGATCAGCAAAATACTGTGACAAACATAATTTCTGAATGACATACAGTGTATCACCACCTATGAATTTTTGATACATACAGTATTTTTCCACATCAGGGTTTGGACCCAAAACCTCAATTATCATTCATTTACCGTAAACAATCAAATGAACTGCGATGCTTATACAGATTTTCCAGTGCAGCCCTTATTCAAGGTACACATTCGTAGGTGATGCTTGCTCCACATCACCATAGTGTTTCCCATGTAAATACCGTACCTTCTCCTTTTGAATTGGTACCATGTATTGTACGTTGGCCTATGTGACATTTTATACAATGTCAGTAATATTTACTCCATACGAAATCAGTTACCCATACAGAATACCAAGGCACACGTGACACTGGGTAATATGTACTATTGATTAAGCACCGCAATGCTTTTTCTACATAGAATATTCTAATAAGCGCTGCTTTCAAATATGCGTTGGGCATATTCCAAAGCTTTGCATATTAATAAAGAGGTGCTATTTGATAATTTACGGTACCTTACCAACTAAATTTTAAGACAAAGTTAGTGATGCTGCCAGGAATTTTCATTACAGACAACCTTTAAATTTCATCAATGTACTACATTAAAACTTGCCTATGTTCACTTTGCCTCACTTGAATAATTTCTTAGTTGATCTTATTTTACATATCAAAATTGTTGTGTTTTCTATTAATTAATAATCTGTATCTAAATTGAACAGTTTTTCAATGCCATTTTGGATTTGACTTCAAGATCAACTCTATACTACAGTACATATTAATAAATTATATGAAATAGAAATTAGCATGGATAACATAAAGGTGCTAAGAATAAAAAGAAAATATATTGACTTTAATCCTGATAGGGAAATACTAACTTCTCTAAAATTGAGAGATACTTCATATCATCTTCAATCAAAATTAATATTGAATAACAAGGTTTTATGAATGGTACACCCTTGCATCACTAATGAAGATGCATCAGCAGCTCTTAAAATAATTATACGTATACATACTTTCCACCAACCATAAAGTAATTATTCATTATTGGAACTATACTTTCTATGGACTACATTTTTCATCATTCTCTATATAGTTTAACATACACTTAGTACACACCGTTCCTCTTAATACTTCAATACCTTATGTAGTATCTATACAATGTATTTATGAATTAATAAAACAACTAATTAGTCTACATCGTAAAATTTCTACAACTAGGTGAAGAAAACGTATTGAGTAAAACACATTCTAAACATTTCTTTCATCTCTTAAATCATCAAAATACCACTAAATGAAATAAGATGCTAACTGTTTCAACAGAACATGTTCTTACATCATAATCTTACTATTTTTCTGTAATTCATATTAATTGTGTAGTAGGTATTGAGTTACAGATTGCACATTTTACCCAACTATATAACACTTATGTATCAATTATAATGTCCAAATGACTATACAAATCAGTTAACTTATGCGAAGTACAATTTAACCAGTTTAGTAGAGTAATGTACAACACATGTTATGAACAAATACTTTTATCATGATCAATAAGTAATTATATAAAATGTTGGTAGATAAGATATAGTAAATACTAAATAATACTATATATCCTGATTCAAATATGGATTATTAACACTGAACTGGCAGTATATTACTTGTACATAATAATCAAATTCACAATTCCAAACTCAAAAATAAAATACTCTGCAGCTATATATAAAAAAAAAACACAAACTGTCAACCATTCTTCTAAGAGTGATCACAACAACTATAAACAATCTTTACTTTCCACACTTACAGCAAACTAAATCAAATGTACATATGCATTGTTAATTTACTTCATAAATTGTAAGATACTTGACCTAAAATCACCAGATATGGTTAGAGCTTGCTTGTACACATTATTTGACTTTGGTTCAAGCCAGCACACATAAAAAAAATGGTGCTTAACAAAACAAGAAATCAACATCTGCACATTATTTCATGGCACCAAATATGCTATTAAAGCCCTTGCACTCATGTAATTGTAGTACACTATAGCTTTCTGGTGTGAATGCTATTGTAGCCTTAATGTATTTAATTACATGTCATGGCTGCTGAGCTAATAATAATACCAAAAAAAAAAATGAAAATTTTAGTCCCGCTTTTTCTGTCACAATTACCAATTACTTAAAAAAAAAAAAAAAAAAAAAATAATGTTGAGATTAGGTTTCATTCTTTTTTTTTTATTTCATTCACTGCATATGCACCAGCAATGCCACTTACTATTGCTAAAATTATGTGTTATTCATAGTATCAACAAACATTTATATGATTTTACATATTCCAGAATAATATTATAGTACAAAGAGTGCATGTATGTGATAAAGGTTAAGACATAAAACAATATTATGGCTAAGCTTGGTTTCCTTAAAATCGCTACACTGTCGATGCAGTGTTTTCAGTGCAATCGTTTTGCTGCGTAGCAGCCCCCGACGCGATCGGGAAGGCTCCCAGATTTGACCGACCAATCAGTATCACTGAAAGCGGCATGTAGCGATTGTATGGAAACCAAGCTTCACATTGTCATCTGCATTTTCATAGTGTGTTATTTCTTTTAACACTTGTTGATTTTCATTGCCTAAAGATATTATATAGTGTTACAAACCATATGTGTGATAATTACTTCTGCCGAGGAGGTTATGTATTCATCACAGTTTATCTGTTAGTTTGTTAGAAGTACAACAAAAAAATACAAAAAAAAACTAATGAATGGATCGGCAGAAATGTGTGTGGAGGGGTACATATAGCTTTAAGGAAGAGGTGATTAAATTTTGGAGTCAGGTCAAATGAAAATGTCATGATCACAGAAATTCGGAAAGTTTTCTGTAACCTACACCTTAAGCAGGGAGTTGTTAATAATCACTTGCACGGAATAATAATAGACTCTAAATTGATGATGATGATGACTTGTCTCATCCATACATGCCTTGTGTGTATTATTCGGCATTCAGACACAGGGTGCGTGGAGGTAAGTACTCTATGGCAGGAATGCACTCAAGTTAATTACCTTAATTAACCAGTTATATTTTACAGTAAAAAATAAATAATTTTGTTTAATTATGGTGACACATTTTTAAGTATTAAATAACCTTTAGTTCCATTCATTGTATAGTTGTGATGATATTTTTAAACAAAAAAACTGTAAAATGCAGAAAATAATGTACCATTGTTTCTGTGTTTGTCTTACACTTTGCCATAGACATAGACACATTAAACTGTAAGACATTATATTAGTATTACAATACTATTTATAATTATTTTAACAGTAACATATTGGAGGAAAATGTTAATTTGTATAATCAGGTACAATGGAAATATGGAAAGTATGTTCTAGATCATCGATTATAATTTCGCTCAAGTCTTCCTTAACTCTTCAGGTTGTATTGTTTGTTTCATGGTACAGCTCTGCTGATATATTTCATGATATGCATTCTTGGTGATAATTGAACTTTGCTTTGTTCTACAATGTACAACAAATTCAGGTAGAATAACTTAGCTGGCTGCCTGTGAGCTCTGTCAATGACATCTTCACTATCTTTGATCTATCACTACTTTTTCAAACACTCCTTCTGACATTCTGAAAAGGAAAGCAATGTTATATTTAATGTTTGAAAGGTGAGACAATTTATCTGTGAATTACAAAGGTTGATTTGATGTGGATCAAGTCATTTTGTTTATGAACAATGGTCTTTATACACAACCTATAGCATTATACATTTTGAGATGCATTATTTATTTTATTTCATTTCAACAGACCAACAGCAAATCATCGCCACTAACAGGCTGGTAACATATATAAAATTTAAATATATCAAATATATAGACGAAAGAGCACAAAAATCTCACCTATTCAAATGATTAATAATAATAGAATGAAATATAGACAAACTATTGTGAAAAATGTCAATATTAGAGGTTAAAATAAGAGAATTATATTGAAGAGAAAGTCTAGAAATAAAACTACGTTTACAGACATCAACTCTACAAAAGGGGATATTAAAGGTAGGACAGGAACAAAGACTTCTAGAATTAACATGCAAACCAAACAGATGAACAAGATCACAACTAAAGTACGCGTTAACACATTTATAGAGAAAAACCATATATTTGTTAAGTTTGCTTGCTATTAGTGAATTTTTATGATAACCTTAGAAAATATGTCACGTTTTATTTAATATAAGTATAATTAACAATATTAGTAGTAATAATAATAATGCTTCATTTATATAGCACATATTGCAATAAAATGCTTAATACTGTATTTATTCAAATAAATTCCCCTCTTTGAATGCTTCATTTATATAGCAGATATAGCAATAAAATGCTTAATACTGTAATTATTCAAATAAATTCCCCTCTTTGAATGCTTCATTTATATAGCAGATATAGCAATAAAATGCTCAATACTGTAATTATTCAAATAAATTCCCCTCTTTGAATAAACACTCCCTTGAATAAACTACTGTAGAGCCTAATTTTGAATAAATGTCTCCCTGAGGCCCTAAATCACTGTAAACAAATCTAATGAAAGAAACATCATCAACACATTCTATTAATGTTCTACTCCAGTAGAATTACATTTTTTCTAACGTGGCTAGGATCAAGAAGTCTTTATGATTATGCAATAACACATTGCGTTGTGTTGTAGTTCCACATTTCAGTGAAATTTTAGCCCGGGCGTTTATTTGAGTATACACTGTATGTATCCATTTAAGACTAAACAAAAAAAAAAAAAAACCCCTCCCTCAAATAATCCTTTACAGCAATAAACGCCCCATTCATATACAGTGTGTATATTTCCTATTAACCATCTGACTATAGTTTCCATGCTCTATATTTTTAACTTCATTTGAAACAACGCTTTTAAAACAGAGGCAATAGATCTTAGAAAAGTATACATACAATACAAGATTTAGTGTACATCTGCCATGAAAAAAAATATTAAAACAATAGATAGGAAGACATTAAATGGGATAACATAATAAGAACAATAAGATTTCCACACATAAAACAATTCCAATGTAGTAAAATTATGCTTAATATAGAATGTGCATGCCTAAAATTCAGACATACAGTAAACGTAGAGTAGTTGGTAAAATAGTATTAAAACTAATAAAATATACATTACATCTACTAAGTTATGAGATGGTATACACCCTTGGGTTTTTCACACACTTCCTTATATTAATTAAATTAATCATCAAATCAACTGAAATTGAATATGGTATATATAAGAAAATTTATTGTCATGTAATGAAATTTGTTCCTCTATAGTTTACCTGTCCTTAAGTCGCTGGCTTCCTAGAGCTGTGGAACCATCTTTGGCAATAAATAAATGTAAACCCATCTCTTCTGCAAGCAAACAATTTATACATATTAATATACTTAAAATTTACAAATTAATACTAAACAAATATTTGTACTGCAAAGGTACTGTTTGTTTTGTAAACAATGACAAATTATTGTTTGATGCTAAAAGGTAGCAGGGTTTAATGGTACAGAATTGTGTTTTTACAAGTTTTTGCAAGTGCTATTTTATAGTAAAAGTGTTGGTTGATAGTGGAAATTGAAGGTAACATTTGTGGTTGATAGTACAAATGGTGAATGATAGCAGATGTGATGGTGTTTATATTTATGAGCATATTGAAGGGTGACCCACCTAGCATTTTAAGGGCCTTTATTAACATGTTAAAATGTACTCTTACCTGCAACACCTCCTGCTTCCAAATCCTGTTTATTGATTAATTCTTCGACAATCTCATCTGCATCCAATCTAGTATCATCAACTCTCTTCTGTTGTTTGAGTTCTTCAGGATGTTTCTGGAAATTAATTAATTAATTAATTAATTATTTCTAATTAAGTAGTCAATTGATCAATCAATTAATCAATCAATCATTCATTTTATTTATTCATTAATAATAAAAAACATATAAAATTGCAAAAAAACAGCCAAAGGCTGAAATTATTTTTATTACAAAGTGTTAAAAAAACTACATTATACAAAAACATCCATATTGAAAAATACATATTATACTAAAAAATCTACACAAAAAAGCAGGTTTGTTAAGTACAATAAAAAATATCAATTAAATTGAAAAAAAATACACTAAAAATGATGATGTACAAATATTAATAATGGAAAAGGATTATAACAGACCAGAGAAGTCTTTGATCCAATAGGAAATAAAAAAGATAAAATAAGAATGTTAAACATACTCTTCTCCTCTCATTGGATCCAACGCCTCTCCATGATCCTGACCATGAACCAGACTCTCTTGCACCGCCTCCTTGATCCTTTTCTGGCATCGGTTCCGTTAAGCTTGTGGCACTAGAGAAATGCTCTGTAAGGCTTGAGGACCGTGAATGTGCACTACTGTACCCGCTGCCTTTAGATTGCTGGCTTCCACACTGACTTTCATGGCTATTGTAACTTGAGCTACGAGAATGACTCTGTAGAAATTCTTCTTCACTTGGTAGGCATTTAATTTCCGGCTCTGTCGTAGATATTTGCACCAGACCTTCAAAATAGTATAGATTTTAATAATATATCACTTTGATTTTTTTTTTTAGGTTAAATAATGAGCGTTAACCCGGGAATTCCATTCATCGTACGACGGTCGTGCGACCGTCGTACAACAAATCCAACTCTGTAGGATTCTAGACGACACAATGTCACCTATTGAATGTCGGTTGCAGTCTAATGGATCGTCATTAAAAATGATCCATTGCGCACACATCATTGCACTTATTTTTCATAGAATCGCGTCGGCCGACGGCTTTCGGTACACCGAGTGCCCCGTTTTAGGCAGCATAATGACAGCACTTACCAGAATTCAAGACACTGGGTCTTTGTTTCGTAGTATGTCTTCCACTGCTGCCAAATTGACCAGTAACCACAGAACTGCTTGTATCTCCTTTAATACTACGTTGCAACGTTTCATCCCCATCATCTTGAAGCAATGATGTCGTGGCCTGTTGAGATGGCCTGTACAATACAAGCACAATGATACATTATGAACAACAATTTGACTACTGCAAGTATCAGTTCCAGCCAATTTTGTTTTCGTAAACCTTCAGATTTAATGTAAACAATACTGTAACAATAAATAATAGTTCAAACTTGATTGAGTGCAATGCGCTTTTAATACATTAGAAATAAAAATCCAGAATTAGCCAAAATATAAAATAAAAAGATGTGTTTTGAGTAGTTGTTGGAATGTGTAGATGTTAGGTTGGCCATTCCAAGGCAAAACAACGTAAAAAACAAATAAGAGTTAGATTGTTTTGACATGTGACGGCCAAGGTTTTTGTCAAATTTCAGTTGGTAAAATTCCAAAGTGCAACCAAGGCAAGGGGAAATGACCGACTTCCAAAACTGATTTGAAGGCCACACAGAGTGTAGTAAAAGAAAGTCTAAGGAGGCTTTCAAGCAAGGTTCCTTTAGGGGCATAGGTTAATGAGTTCTGTAATAAATTTTGGGGAAGTGTTGTGCAAAGCTTTGTAAAGTGAACAAAAGTATAGTAAATTTGATTTATATCACAACAGGAAACAATGCAATTGCTTCAACACAGGGGTAATGTGGTAATGAACTGGGACTTGGTGGATCAGATGGGCAGCGGTGTTCTGCACATGTTCGATCTTATGTCCTTTTGCTGGTAAACCAAACGGAAGAGAATTACAATAGTTCTGCTTCAAACAAACAACTGCATGAACCAGAATCAAGTGCATAATACTTACGCTTTGAATACCGAGTCACCTGACAACAGAGACATCTCAATCTTGACCTATAGAGAGAAAAGATTCAAGATTCAAGGATCTTTATTGTTTCAATTAAAAATAAGAAACAAATTAAATTAAAATTAACTGACATATGATGAACACTAGCTGGCATCTGAAAACACAGACTGAGCAGAGTCACATGAATTGGGTAATCCCATACAGCTTGACGATTCTACAGACATAGCTATGGTGAATGCATGTTGTTTGATTTTGAATAACATTAGCTGGAACGTCAGTAAACTATTCCAAATCACTTGGAAATTGAACCTGGGTATAGTATCATCTATGGATTATGGATCTTTAGAGTTAGAGCTGCTGCAGCTTGAAGAGTGTCTGATGAATATCTGCGTATCCTTAAAAATTCAAGTTTGTTCTCACAAGATATTCATTCCATGATGCAATCTACAGTACCATGTGAAATCTCAAATCTCTTCTTGTGCATGCTCATTTGCATGGTTTTGCAGCCTAATGGTACCATACACTGCTTCTCTCGCATTCAATCTAAACATTGATCGCTAAAACTTGCTGACTGGCATACACTGAATAACCTGCAACATCTTGGAAGATATTAGAGAGCTTTTGCTATCTCATTCAAGAACCAATCCGCCAAGAAAGTTACCCGTTTTGTTACCATCATTGTAAAAAAAAATAGTGAGCTTTGAGTGAATTTGCAATCAGTATTAGCTATAATGATTTTCTCACGGTAGTAATTAATAATTTAATATATCCTGTAATATAATCAAATTTCATTAAAATGTTGCAAATACATCCAGTTTCTGGTTCTCAATTCATCGCCTCGGATCCTGCAGCTAAATCTTAGGTTGCGAGTATGAGAAAACTAAAACTAGACATAAACTGGTGAGGTCATACAAAAAAAAAAATGCACTTTTCTCGACGGATTGGCTCTTGATCTAGATAACAAGCGCTCTACTGTATATAGCAGAAACTATACAAACCTGCATACAACTTGTAAATACCATTATTGCAAATATTCAAGGAGTCAAAAAAGTAACATTTCATATAAATTATATTAATTTTTTGTGCAATTCCTTATAATGATTGCTAATTGTTTATCTGCCAAGATTGTGGGCAGACTGAGGAATTAGTGTTTACTCATATTAAGATTCCTGGTAAAAAGCAGATTAAAAGAGAGTAAACATACCTTGACAGTACTATTGTCTTGCCGTATTTTAGAATCGTAGCCTTCTAATAAACAACGTCGACTCACACAACCTGCTCCAGCAAACTCTGCCAAATTCAAGTCAACAAATCCATACTTCATGAATGATTTCCCACCTTTGGTTTCCTAAAGAAAAAATGAAAGAACAAATACAAGAACAGCTATTAGATGTGGAAGGACTTTTAAACATTATTGATTTTGATCTACAGAGAGTTTCAAAGTTTAGGACCATAAGATTGAAGTGTCTCTTAGATTAGTGTGGGATAGTGTATTGGTAGGTTGGTGTTTGATTATTGTCAGTAAGTGTCTGTGCTGCTGCTACACTTGCTATAGATATAATAATGTACGTACAGTATGTGAATTATTACCTATTTTGTTTTGAGACTTGACTTGATTATAGGGTGGGTACTGCCAGCAGCATACAGTAGCTAACTATGCAGTAGGTGAGAATGGGCCCCAGTTCAGGATTATTTTCCGAGCCTTTTATCAATTTGAAGTGTCACCCAATGGAAGCTGTGATTATGACAACTCTAGAGGGCCAAAAAAGCACCTAAATTTGAATATAATTTTCTTTTTTCTTTCACATTTTTATTTTATAATTTTGGAAAATTTAGGGGGCCCGACAAGCTGGGCCCCTTGAATATCCGACCCTTGAATTGAAATTACACAGTCATCAATAATTACTCCTCTAAAAACCTAAATAATATTGAGGGGCCTGCTGGCTATGTAAAATTATTTTTAATTATCATTTTTAAACCTATTTATGAATATTTATTTGCACTCTGGCTGCACTGGGTATTACAACAGACAGAACCTGACATGTGAAAATTTACACAATGTACAATGTACTTGTACATGTACAGTTTATTTACTGCTTGTGGTTCCTAGTCGTAAAGCGCATTGAGGCTTTTGACTGAATGTGCTATAAAAGAATTGACTTATTATTACAGTACCAATACACATTTTAGTACAATAGAAAAAAAAAAAAAAACCAATAACGTCGCATGATATAAACTTGCCTTTCGTATTGAAACTCTGCAACAACAACTCTCCAATATACCAGTAGTAGCATTGGCATTCATCTTACAGTTGAACTTGAACTTTGCTCCCCAATGTACAGAATTGTTTCTAACTTCCTCTCTAAAAAACAAAAAAAAAATACCTCTATATTAAAGCTCGGAGAAATTATAGCACCAACCCACAGGAATTTTAACTTTTTGAAAAAAATAGTTAAAGATTGTATGTTTGCAAGTTGGTTTAAAACAAATTGTTGTACCCTTTTGAAATTTTGCAGGACCATAGATAAATAAACAAAATTTTAACGCTGTGCCTAGGAATACGGTAGGGCCTACATTAAATTGCATCATCCAATAAAAAGCCGTGACTTGTTGTGATGCCATTGTTCATGAAGACTTGCGAAATCACTCGCTGACTGTAACATTTAGTTTAGATTTAAGTAAGGAATTACATTGGAAGCAAATATTTTAACGTAACCCTTTTCTTTATGATCTCACAAACTCTCAAACTCAAAAGTATGTAGTATACTTTCACATTTGTCAGGTCAAATGTTACACTATATCAGACAAAATGTGAAATTAATTATACATCAGGAACAGGTAAATTATTTGTACTGTAGACCACAGGCCCTATAGTATAGGGCCTGTGATTATACCATTCTTTCTTATTCGGTATCTTTATTTAAGAACATCAAATCTGTACATAAAACAACAAATTGCAGTATAAACTAAATCAAATGTTGAGTAATTAGTTAATTGTTTTTAAATATACAAAAGCTAACACATTGTTATAAATTTTAAGTTGATGAAATATGATGAATTTAAACTGACATGGTTACAATAAAATTTTGATTATTAGAATAAAATGGACAAACTAAGGGGATATTCGTCTTCAATACAATTTATATTTTGCAAGTTCTGTTATTTCTGGGAGCAATTATGCCATCTTCCATTTTCTATTTCAAGGGGTCAAATTCCTAGCGAAGTTTTATTAATACTGTATGTTTCTATATTTATAATCATTAATTTTAGTAAGAATAAATAAAGTCAGTTTAAAATTGCAAAAATATATTGTTTATATTTATTGGTGAAACTTTTGTCTTTTGATTACCTGTACCGCAGGTATATATTGCAAAGTTATTGATATCAAAGATATGTTGTTTTGCCTTGTAAATTTTCAGTTACCTTGTTTTTTTTTTTATTTATTTTTTTATTTAATTATTCATATCATAACATAAAACATACATGTACATTTTCAAAGCAATAAACCACTTAAAAAAAAAACATTTAAAAAGTTTCCTTGTTTTGCCATGGAAAAAATTTAAAAAGATATCCTGAAGTGTTTCAAGAGTGGTTAACATATTCCTAAATGATATTATCTCAACGTCAACAAAAATGCAAGTAATGCCGTTTTGCCGTTTTGCAGATACATTTGTACGGTAGGCCTATACAATACGGATAATATGAAAAACTTTAAAATTACTGGAAGATGAAAATGCATAATTTATCCCATCCATGATGATAGTAGCAGGGCCAGTCCCCTCCCCATAGATTCATTCATAAAAAGGATTATTTATTGGTCTGAGATGGCATTATTTTTATTTATTTTTCAAAACAAGACAGCAGAAATAATATTCCAAAAATGAAAATCTGGGCATTTTTGGGGTGTTGCACAGGGCAGCAGGACATACTGTAGATGGTAAATATGGGGACAATTCGCCAAAAGTAGGACGTTTAGAATAAGTATCAGTAATTCATTAATTTAGGACTTGGGTAGGTCTTAACTACAGTACTAAATTTTTTTTTTTTTAAATCCGTTAACTTTATTTCCATATTCATTTACAGTAGTAATTAAATACTAATTATTTAGTATCATAATTTATGAAGTAAACTTGGCCTGAATTTCTAACTCTGTATGTACTGGATAGCACTTACAGTGGTACTGCAAGTGTAAACAAAATAAAGAGGAAGTAACGAATCCAATAAGGAACTATTAGTAGGTTCTACAATGATTTTATTTTTTTTACAAACAATTTGTTTTTGGCCCCTGGAGGCAAAATAAAGAAAAGAAATCACATAACAATTTCAGTAGGCAGATGATCTTCATGTACTATACTGAAATATTGTAAAAATGTCTAATTAAAACCCACAATTGTATGATTACTATAATTTAAAAACAAATCTCATTATCTTAGCTGAACAGTACAGTACTGTACACAGTACAGTACATGGGAATAGTGTCAACAATTTCAAGAAAGGTTTTAAATTTCTTCTTTGTATCATTAATAAGCCAAATAAATGACTCTAAATACAGATAAATATAGAGATACTCCATATCAGGTTCAGAATGACATACTGTAAGGCCAAATTATTGTTATCCTGAGAACATGTCTGTTCATCTAGGTAAATTGAAAACAACTAGTACAGAATCAATCAATATGTATGACAGATAGCTGGGAGCCTTGATAGCATTATGCTAAGTAGCTGACTGGTCATGCAATACATTAATAGTAGAGTCAGCACTTTGTAGTTTTAAATGACTACTTCCAAAACAGAAGACATGATGGCTTAGGCAGCATTTAGTACTGGTTCACACCAGCCTTAAATTCTGATCAGGTCTGGTTCACATTAGGGTGTTTTGATCCTGATCAGGGGCAAACCGAGCCTAATTTTTACCAGTCAGCAAATCAAAAAATGATTTTTTTAATTGGAATTTGAATTCTAATCTGAATGTTTAATTATGCTGATGATTATTATCTTTTTTAATTGATGCTTTTTAGTAATTAAAATTTTTAATAACAATTTTGGATGCAATTTTTTTAATGGGCATTTTGCAATAATTTTGGTGGCTCTTTGATTTTTGTTTTCTCTTGATGTACATTTGTGATGTTCTCTGTTTGACCCCATAATGCTTTCTTTACTCCATATTAAGATAAGTGATTTTATTAATAGTGCAATTTAAATTTCATATTTTTTTATGTTGAATTTTTACCTTATTTAAATCATTAGTTAATGAGATTTCTTTATGTGAATTTTTGATGTTTTTCCCACTTAGTGTTTATCCTGTTTCTTATAAAGTTTTTTATATCTATTTGTGTACTGTATATTGTCTCATCCAATCCATTTTTTCAATTGCAATAAAGTTTAATTTGAATTTGAATATAACCCTTTCTTATAGAAAAATCAATCAGATTTAAGCATTTTTGAGGCAGTCAGGGGTCAGAATTGCCTAAAATTTTGCAGTTAAAAAAAAATTATATTGTCAGTACTCCCTTCTGTCTTTTTTATACCACACAATTTATGTTTAGTGTCATCCCTGTGGATCATCATACTTCTACATTACAGGCCTATAGTCCAGTTATATTTAAAACTGACCCAATTGGGATGAAATAAAGAATTGAGTATGAATGGAGTTCGGTCTCAATGACAAATGCTCTTGCTTCATCAAACGTTATTTAAATCTATTCTAAGCAATTTAAGTTGCTGTACTGAACAATAACTGAACATTAAATATCCAAAACATAAATGTCTTTCTCTAACTTCTATAGACAAGCAGTACTATAGGACCTTTCCACAGAGCTATCAGTACTACCTAAAACAACACAGGCTCCACAGTTACAGAATTAGAGGTTTACAGTAGTATGGTAATTTTTTCTTCCCTCTCCCACAACGCTAGGTTTACAGATAAAAATGACGTCAGGTAACACGCTGTGAGTTTGGATCACAAAAAGGGTGGATTTGTCACATTAGTTTGTAATTTTTTTTTCATTTTTTATAACTTTCAAATTCTAATGGGAAAATTCAACATTGTTGTTTTGATGATTCTTTTTTTCATCAATTGGGCTTTTGAAAATACTGTTTTTGGGGTAGACCGTAGTAATGTTTCTTGTTAAAAAATCAACCTTAAATACTTTTTTAAAAATCTTGCGTTATTTGGGATTGCACATTATTTCTTTCTAGGATGTTTGATTGTATGTCCTCACTCAACTTAATACGGTAATACTGTAATCACTACTTTAATGTACAGTAGTGATAAAAAAAAATTCTGTCAATTTCATTTTTATGATTATTGTTTAATCATATAATCAAATATCAAAGGCACTGACCCTAGTCAGGGTCAGGCTCATTAGTTTACTTATGGTATCCTGTAGGCCTATCATACAAATATGTAATCAGTGAGTGACAGCTATGGACATAATTATTCGAGCGGTGCAGTCCAAAGGTACAGTAGTACCTGGTTTTTACTATGAACATGGGTCATTCCACGCCAACTCAACAAACCCATTACACCATGGGTCATAGTCTTTCTGAAGTTTTTGCACACTCTGATAATGATAGAGTGATAGATAAATCATGAGAAATGAAAAACCTGAAATTTTGGAGATTCTTGTTCATTTTCCCCTAGCAGCAGTTTGAAGATACACAGTAACATGCAAAATTCCAAAATGAAAGAAAAGTGTTGGTTCAAGATTGTGATTATTTTGAAATTATTATTTGTGTTGAACATTAAAATGACTAGTGTATAATAATCTACATCCTTGATTCATCAATTTATGTTAGTAGAGTAATTAACTCGAGTTTATAATGTGAATGATTTGAAATATTAAAGTGAAACTTTTTTTAGACCTTGTTTAGCGAACACGCCGCCTGCGAATAATGATGATTTCAAATAAAAACAAAATTTTATTTTTGGCTAAATGATAAAATGCCAAAAAAATGGAAATTTCTGAAAAGTTTTTCTTTATTTTTATTTTAAATCCAAAAGATGTATATTTTTTCCTAACCATCCCATTAATACACTGCTTACATTCACCAATAAAATTGTATTTTTATTTTCTCTTCCCTCTGGATGGTTTTAGCAAACCTACTTGCTAAAAAACGAAAAGAGAATTTTTATTTTTATTTCTTTCTGCCTTCCTCTGACAATCTTTAAAAAAATAAGTTCTCGAAACAAGATATAAAAAAGTCTAAACCATCTTATTATAACTAATTTACAGTAGCACGCGCTGCACAATTCAACAGCGACATGCAGTAGGCCGATGCTGCCTGCAGAGTCTGGTAGGCAAAAAAGGGAACACGTACCTGTACAAGATGCCTACCAGAAAAACAATGATAATGGCGAAAACATAATAATAAGAATAACAACAACAAGAACAATAAAGATAATAAAAAAAATTAAAAAAAAATAATAATAATAATAATTATTATTATTATTATTATGAGAGATTAACATCAATTGTAGTGAAATAAATAAAAAAAATAAAAAACAAACCTGGATTAATAATAACAATAACAATAATAATAACAATAATAACAATAACAATAATAATAATAATAATAATAATAAAAATAATAATAATAATAATAATAATAATAATAATAATAATAATAGCAGTGAACAGTCCACTGCATTCACACTAAAATGACATGGTATCATTCACTCCTTGGTTATCTGTCTCAATTAGAATTTTCAAGTTTTATCTATGAAAATTGACGTTGAAATATACCATACTTTGAAGGTTCATTGTTTCATAAAAATTTGAAAGTTTTTTAAGAAAAATATTTATTTTGCATTGGAATGATAAATTTACTGGCAAAGTAATTCAGATTTTTCATACAGTGTCAATTAATTTTTTTTTGTTAACATTTAGGCAATCTTCTTCAGTAGTAATGTCATTAATAACCAAATCTATTAAAAAATCTCTTTTTCTAGCAAAGAAATAAACATTTATTTATCCAACTACAGTAGGCCTACTATCCCATCTACAACGCATACAGTTTTTATCATAACATAATGAACTAACCTTCAACATACACGTCATTGTCAATATTGTATTTACATGCAGTTTTGAAATTGTTATTCAAGGTTACTGAACAGAATAGCTGAGCAGCTGGTTACTCCCTATTTGATGTTCCATTGTAAATGAAGACTAGAATGACTCCATTAATAACAATTGTAAATATCATCACATAATGTTAAATCTGGCAGTGGTATCTATCCAGGGGTAGTGCCATGACCTGGTGTCTGATGTCCCCAATGAGAGCACAAAGTTAAAAATTCTTCCAAATTCTGTTCGTTCTTATGTTTTTTTTTCTTTGCTTCTTTCTTAGACATTCATAAGTTTTAATACATTACAGAGTCACTCTGACCATAATGCTATAGGTTAATTTAATTGAAGTTTACAGTATGACTTAATGTTCTGCAAAATGTATTAAACTCCATCCACACTTTCATTATCATAAATGTACTGTACAGGTACAATAATTTAAACACTTCCTCGACTTACATCATATCATTACTGTATTAATTAGGCAACTTTTATATTAAATTTTTAACCATGTTTTCTTCATTTTGGTACGACACTTATGCATCTAATATTTTATATTACCATGTATATCATTCTTCTTCTTGCATATGACAAGCAGCATAATTTTTTTTAAATTTATGTATTATTCAACTTATAAAACATAATTATTATTATTATTATTTATATCATTATTATGTTATCATATTTTTTGCATATCTTATGTCATGTGCCTAAATTTGTATTTAATTAATTTTAATGAATGACTGTAGGACCTATATTAGGTATGTTGTGATGCGCGCTGATCGCGTCTGTTTTTTCTGCCAGGTTACTGTTCCGCATTTGCATCATGCTCCCTGGGGACATCCCCATAAATTTACATTCTGATTGGCTGTCGTTAGGGAAATCCCTTGGATACTGCCATGATGACGTACTAGAAAGGCCACTCTTCATCCACCATCTTTTTTTTCCAGATCGGACAAAAATATCATCTTCGCTAGAAAGTTTTAAGATTTCAAATGTTTTGATGGAACAAATATCACTCTAAGGTCAAATCCTACATTATTGAAAGGTAAGTCTACATATTGTTTATTATTTTGTCTTTAAAATCCCTAAGTTTCATCGTATTTTATGGCTCAGAAAAAAAATTGACCGACCCGGTCAAGGTCGTGTCAGAGGCTATTGGCGTATACGTGAGCCGAAAACCATGAAAAAAAGTCGCATTCTCGGTCACAAAATTCTAATCAATTACACGTAATAAAAATGACGCTAATTCACGATTTCAAATGCTTATAATTTCCTTATTAATTAAGATCTAAATAATTTTGGTGTCATCGTGTAGGATTTTTCAAGCTCTTTCCAGTGGTACTAATTGAATTGGTATTGGTTCACTTTTATTTAATTTTTTCTTCACATGCCTACCTATGTATGCATGTGTGGAAAATCCTAATAAACCAACATACATCTTGAAAGTGAGTAAATAAATTGGTTTACAAAGCAGTAACTAGATGAATTTCTTTCAAGGTAGGCCTACCATACTGTAAAGTATTTTAATTGCACGGATGATATCTCAAAAACTAGCTCAAATTTGCGCAAAAAAATCTCTAGAAAAATAGGTGCCTAGGCCCTTCTTACATTCATAATATTAATAAATGAAATTTCAAGCTTACCTTGCAGACAATTCTGAAAATGTACCTCCATCGAGTAATCGAACTTTAGCAAACAGTACACAATTAACAAACGGAATAGAGTCCAGTTGGCAAACCTCGAAATTCACTTGGAATTTAAATTTCTTTTTCTTCATCATTTTTTATAGATCATGCGATGGATTAATAAATTATCAAAAAAGAAAGCTTAAAAGTCTATATTCATTTATACTCAAATAGGTAAAAGTCTTCTAGTACCATCGAAATCCCGACTGGAAGTTGTGATTCAGGCAAAGCTAGGCCTACTACTACCTAGCGTATTATAACACACTGTGTAAGCGATGCACACGCAGATCAATTTCGAACCGCAAAAAGTCTGTTAGTCGGCCGACTGCCCAGGCGTCTACGTAGGTAGGCCTAGCCTAGCCTAGATAGGTGAATTATCTTACAAGATAATATCATATGTGCACCAAAATTGTATATTTCTTCAAATAACCAAACCCTACACTCAGCATTAACTGTTATATTTCCAGTGGACACTCAGGAGTTACATACTGCTGTCAAATTTTTGTCATCTAATAAAATCCTACCACAAAAATTGAACAAGTTGGTGACGTTTCTCTAAGTTATTTTTATTACATGCGACGCACGCCCTCTCTCATAGCAGCTGATCCATAGCAGATGGCGTGCCAAAGTGGCAAAAAAAAGAAGATTTTTGTTGGAAACTGTTGAATGGACCTAGAATACCGCCAAAAAAAAAATTGGACAGATTTCAGCCATAGGAAA